TGGTTGGCCATGATTGCTTCTCATAAGTTTGTTTCCCTGTTTCTGTCAATTTCTGTTCCTACTTCCTCAACTCAGTCGTCTGAATAAAAATTTTTTTCTCTTTTGAAAAGCCAGTATCATGGAGAGATGAAATCTAGGAGGACTAGTAGTTGCTGCTCTCTCTGCCAAAGTTGTATAATCCTGAGTGCATCACTGGCCTCTCTGTGCCAGTTTTCTTACTGTAAGTGGTTTAGATGATCTACAAGCTCACACTACTGTTAGTCACCAGACAGCAGATATTTATATCCGTGTCTGACAAGAAGTCTGTATTCTCATTCATTCTCTCTCTCTCTCTCTCTCTCTCTCTCTCTCTCTCTCTCTCTCTCTCTCTCTCTTATTGTGGAGGATACTAGTTTTATTGGGATGCCAGATACTGTTCTGGCCAGTAGCATGGACTGAACAAAATAAATTGAAACAGCATTTTGTTTATTTTAGTTTTCTAAGAAGGTTTCACTATGTAGTCCAGGCTGACCTAAAACTTGTAATCCTTCTGAATTACAGATGTACAAGAGTGCTGGCTTTTTCTCTCTGTCTCTCTGTCTCTGTCTCTCTCCCCCTCCCCCTCTCCCTTCGTGCTGTGGACTGAACCCTGGTACCAGGGATCAAACTCACAACCTCAGGCTTACCAGGCAAGTGCTTGAGCCACTAAGCTAAATCCCTGGCCCAGCATTTGTTTTTTTAAAAAAGGTGTTCATTTGATGTGTATTTTATTAAGCACTTTTTGTACCAGAAATCGAACTCAGGGCCTCTTTCCAGGCAGATGCTGTGCTGCTGAGCTACAAACCTAACCCCTTTAAGCCGTCTTGTGTTATGAAAAAGCAAAACAAAATTTCAGAAGTAAGAGAATAACAAGTTATTATACTGTGTATCATTGTCTTCAAACTAGTTAACTAGGTACAAAACATAAACCAAAAAAAAATTCTTACAAAAAAGAAGTAACACAAGAGTCAGGTGTGATGGGTCACGCCTGTAATCCCAGCACTTGGGAGGCTGAGGCAGGAGGATCCTTGTGAGTTCGAGACCAGCCTACGCTACAAAATGAGCTGAAGGCCAGTGTGAACTGCATAAAGAGACCCTGTCTCAAAAAGACAAATATAAAAAAAAAAGTAACACAAATCTTTCTTTTCAAGACACATAAACTAGTAACATAGTACATTTTTTTTCCTGACTTCCTAGTTCTTTTCAGACAGCCACTGTCTCCAGTTCCTATGTATCCTTCCACAATACCTTTTACTAATGCTTGCATTATAAAAAGAAGTGATAATTTTTAAGTATGTAGGAAAAAATAGGTTAGTAATAGGGAGAAAATAGAAAAGGATTCTGAACTAATGATCATAAATTTGGAGTGTCTATTAACTAGTTATAAAATAGGAGAAACAATTAGTTTTTCAAGGCATAAGGGTAAGTGTTGGAAGAAATTGCTACAAGAAATGAAAATGTTTGCTGTGGATGATTTCTCATGGCTAGAATATTAGTTTTATTATCTGTTCTTTATATTATAAATGTATATTATATTTTGATAGAAATTGATTTAGAAATTAGAAAATATGGGTAAATAATGAAATGAAAATATATTCCTAGATGTGTTAGGTAGCTCCTTCTAAGAGTGACTTGGCCAGGGCTGGGGATTTAGCTCAGCAACATAAGCGACTGCCTGGCAAGTGCGAGGTCATGTTCGATCCCCAGTACCAACAAAAAAAGAGCGGCTTGCCAAATAACTGTTACAGGGTTTTGTGGTACTTGAATCTCCTTCTGGAGTTGGGAGTCCAGGTGCTACTCACCTCAAATAAGTCAATGAAATGACCAAAAGCAGTAACAAAGTTTATTTGAAAAAGTAAAAATGAAGAATAAGGGAGGGAAAAACTGGCTTTGCAGAGTCAGGTCAGACAGTAAAAGAGGAAAAAGCAAGATGAAAAGTACAGTGGACCCCCCAAAATTCCCAAAAGTTACATTCTTAGAGCAGAGCATCTGTGAATTGTGAAAAACCCATGAATTTCAGACATAGAAATATGCCTATTATTATAGTTTGAACCTTAAATATGCTATGTCACCTGCAGTTATATACTTTAATAAAATACTGTATTAATAAAGCCTTAGAAGGTGCAGAGCATTTTGGTGCAACCTCAGTGATCTTAGGGCTTTAAAGATAAACAAAATCTAGAACACTGAAGATAGCTAGCTCCATGTGGTATAGCAACCTTTTATGCTGGGAAAATGCTGGTGCATCAGCTGGAGATGGATTACAGGGCAGCAGCCAATCCGCAGCAAGGAGAACTGAATAATGCTCTCATACTGGCTACTTGTAAACCTCCCACAAAAAAAAAAAAAAAAAAAATTGCAGAGGATATTTCAGGTTTCTGAGAAATTGCAGGGATTTCTGAGAACAATTACTAGCTTTTAAGGAAAAATCTGCCAACAACTGAGGCCAAGAACTCTGTATTGTGACTTTTCACGTGTATACTGTACATCCTGGAGGATGCAGGGCAGGCTGTTGGGAGGAAAATCATCATAGCATGACATCTGTGTCCTTTTATGGCATCTAAAATCTACCCGAACACCCAGGGGAACTTGTACATGGGGTCCTGAGAGTGCTGTTGGGATTCTTGGCTAATGTCAGGTCCAGGGCATACTATTGAAAACCTGTTAAAGTTCTTGTGAAAAGCCTGCATGCAGGGCTCTGAGGACTGTTCTGTCCTTGTATCCTGGGATGCTTTAGTTAACAGATGATCAGGGCTACATCCCCAGCCAGCTTTGCCATCTCCTGATTTCCTGTCTCATAACTACTAATACATTTAATTTATTTAATCCCGTCTTTGTTTCAGTCAGTAGTACTAGAATTGAATCCAGGACCTTTGCCCTGAGCTACATTCCCGGTCCTTGTTTATTATTTATCTTGAGATAGGCTCTTGCTAAGTCCCTAAGTTGCACAGGCTGGGCTTGAACTTGTGATCCTCCTACCTAGTTTCTGTTTTTTTTTTTTTTTGTTGTTGTTGTTTTTTATCAGTACCAGGGATCGAACTCATGACTGCTTGCAAGGCAGGTGCTTATGCTGCTGAGATAAATCCCCAGCCCTGCTTCTGTATTTTTTAAAATAACAAAAATGAGTTTAACTTGTACATATTTTTGAAATTTTGATTTTTGTACTTTAAAGGATATTTTGTTTTTGTGACAAGGTGTCACTGTGTACCCTGACCTTGAACTCACTATGTCGCTCAGGCTGGCCTCAAACTCCTGGGGATCCTCCTGCCTCAACCTCCCAATTGCTGGGTTACAGGTGTGTGCCACCATATTATGAATGTTTTTTCAAGCCTATATTGTCTTTTTTTTTTTTTTTTTTTGAGACAGAGTCTTGCTGTGTAGTTGAGATTGCCCTTAAACTCACAGTGTAGCCTAGGCTTTCCTCAAATGATGATCCTCTTGCTTTAGCCTCTCAGGTGCTGGGACTATAGCTGTGTGCTATCACCCTCAGGCCTATATTTTTAATCCTACATTTAAGGTCTTTTTTTATTTTTTGAAACCAGGGCCTTCACACTGAAGTGCATCCACAGGCAACCCTTTACTCTGTTTTAAAAAGACAGGTCTCACTATATCACTAAATGGGCCAGCCAGGGCTGGAATTTGTAATCCTCCTGCCTCTACCAGAGTGCTGGGATTACAAGTGTGCCTTGCAAGGGTCACCATAAATCTGACTTTAATACAGTATTTTAAATTTCTACCAGTGCTTATTAGCACCGTGCTTTTTTTTTTTTTTTTGTAATTTTTTTTCTATCTTTCTGTTTATTAAAGATAGGAGAAGAAAGCAGCTCTGCAGAGTGAGTTTGGGCCAGGTAAAAGTAGGAAAAGAAGTGAGCCCTATAGCATGAGGGAGGGCCACATACAGATAACTGTGGTCAGCACTGTTTCCACTTGTCTTGAACTGTTTGCCTTGATATTTGGCCATCCTTTTCTGCTTGTATCCACTTTCCAGTCTTTGCCTAATACATTCTGTTTCCCTCAGTTGGAAGGCCCTCCAGGTTTTATATCTGCTTATTGACATAATGACACGGTAGAATTTGTGGAGTAGTGAAAGTTACTTCCACATTGAAGAATGCTGGGTTCTGACCAGCAAACCCTGATCTTTCCTAATGGAAAACTGGAGAGACAGGGTGTCTTTGAGGAGGGCCAGGGGACCCCAGTGAAATGGAGCCCTAAACTGACTTAGACTCAGATTTATTGAGGAACAACAAAGGCCTAGAGCTGAGCACAGGTAATTGTTTTAGATAGCAAAGCAGGTTAGCATGGCATGGTGACATTCCGCTGAATAATTAACTTTTATCTGGTTGTCCCCTAAGAAGCTTCTTGTTTTCCCTGTAAGACCTGTCTCATCTCAAATTGGCAAAACATCCCATCCTCAAAACATCTGACTCCTCAGTTAACAGTCTTCCACCTCCCAACTCAACCCAAGTAGATATGGACCCCTTGAGTGTAGCAAGGGGTCCATAAAGAATCTGTGAAAGAAGTTGCTCTTAAAATCCTGTGACTCACAAGCTGCAGAATTTTGATGCAGTCTCTTTGAGTCACATTTTCTGAACTGTAAATGAGGACAAAATATTGACTGTCCTGTGGTTGTAACTATTGGAGAAAATTAAATACTAGAGGATTTCAGAATCTAAGATTCATAACAGTTGGCTGTTACGTAGCTTGGTATGAACTGAAAGTGGGTGATTGTGAATCCCAGATGAAAGAATTTATGTGAAAAGTTCTGGAAATTTTAAATTAGTGCATAAATGTAGCTGGTGTGGTAGCAGACAAAATGGAGCATAGGGTACTATGGGTGAGAGGAGAAGGTTCCAGGAGCGGATGATTTAATTATTACATTTTAAGGAATTTCTCAGGACTTCCACTGCCCTGAGTTCCAGCTGAATCTTGGGTTTTCTAAGGGGAGGATGGCAGATCTGATCTCTTCTCTTTTGTTCCTACAGCTGTATTATCAAGTCCTAAATTTTGGAATGATTGTCTCCTCGGCACTAATGATCTGGAAGGGGTTAATGGTAATAACTGGAAGTGAAAGTCCAATTGTAGTGGTGCTCAGGTAACAATTAATTTTTCTTTTCAAGGCATGGAATTGCATGGCATTGCTTGGAGGAAAATTGAGATACTGAGTAACTGGCACATCAGTTCCTTACAAACTACTCTTTCTCAGAAGAAGGGCTGGGAAAAAATTAGTTACTACTTCTCAACTATGAAAAATTCTCAACCTTGTTAGACACACCCATTCAGAGCCCCAAAGGGCCCTTGACCTTTCCATAAAAAGGTTACTAGGAGAGCTTGGTTTTTGGCTCATCCCTTTAAAAAATAAATTTCCTTGCATTTTATTTTCTTGAAGTACTTTTACCTTCTCACATTCCTCACTTTAGTAACCAGGCCTGGTATTTAGTTGTTAGTTCATTAGATTTTGTAGTACCTCCACAAATTAGTTTTATTGCACCGTGTCCTCAGATATTTCTGTATTTTTTTTTTGTTAAACAAGACCTCAGATTTTTTTTTTTTTTTTTTTTTTTTGTCTTTTTCTTTTTTATCAGTACTAGGGATTGAACTCATGACCACACACTTGCAAGGCGGGTGCTTATGCCACTGAGCTAAATTCCCAGCCCCTAGACTTCAAAAATTTTGAAGGAATTAATACCATCTCATAAAATGACAAGTAGTAACTGAATTTTTTTCTTTACTCTGCTTCCTTCCCTCTTTGCATTCATCCTTTTAGTGATTTTTAAATCTAACTAATTAATTTTTGACATAAAGATTTCATCCATTGAAACCTTTTTGCTTATTTAATGATTATTAAAACAGCTGAGTACTTCATTACATTGGTTATATAGATAAGGTATTTGAGAGTGTGGAATCAATTGTGTACTTAAAGCTGGTATACATGATTTCCCACATTGCTTGCATTTATATGATTTCTCTGATGTGGATTCTTTCATGCATTTGAATGGTATGAGAATTACAGCAGGCTTTACATCATTCCTTACATACCAGGTTTTGCAGCAGTGTGAGTCCTTTCACAAATGTGAAGACATTTAGAAAATTTGAAGGCTTTCCAATATTGCCTGCATTGATAAGGTGCTTCTCTACTATGAATTCTTTTTTCTTTTTTTTTTTTTGTTACTGAGGATCAAACTCAACCCTGTGCTTGCCAGGCAGGCACTTACGCCACTGAGCTAAACCCCCAGCCCCTCTAGTATGAATTCTTTCATGCACTTTACTGTAGTTGGAACAGATAACTCCTTTCCCTCATTATTTATAAGGTTTCTCACCAGTGTGAATTCTGGATGTTCATGAAGAGCACCTGAGCACACACCCGAAGGTCTTACCGTATTCTTTACATTCATATGGTTTCTCTTCAGTGTGAATTCTTCTATTCGTTTGGAGGGAAGTACAGCATAAGAATTCTTCTCCACACTGTCACACACATAGGGTTTCTCACTAGTGTGAGTTCTGTCATCTATGATTACACACACACAGCATTCTTATGCAAAGTGAGTTTGTTCATATTTTCGAATGGTACTGAAAGAACTAAAGATTTTCAAACATGTTATACATATACAAGTTTCTTATTTCCTTTCTGTGATTTGAAAGGGAACTACAATATTTGAAAACTTTCTCGCATTGCTTCCCTTCATAGGGTTTCTCTTCAGTGTATGATGTCTCAAGCTTCTCAGAGTACTTGGGTTAAGGATTCTCCATGTCCCTTAGGTTTACATGGCATCTCTACATTCCTGATTCGCATATAGTTTGTGTCACTGTGAGGTCTGAGGGACACCATTTTGGATAAATGCTCAATGAGGACTTCTCCACACACATGGCTTCAATGGTTGTAGTCTAGTTTTCTTATTTGAAACGTGATCTAGAACCTGCATGTCTGGAGATCTGATGATTTATCTGCACTGACTCCCTTCTTCATCTTTATATTCACATCCCACAGTCTGACTTCTGTAACACAGAAGTCTGCAGCATATTAATACAGGGTCTCACTAAATAATTCAAGTTGGCCTGGAATTCATGGAGATCCTCCTCCTTCTTCAGATTCTCAAGTGCTGGGTGTGCAGCATCACACCCAGCTACATGCGGTTTCTTAAAACTCTGCAAGTTAACTATTTGACAAACACTGCACATGCAAGTCATATTTAAGTGCAGGTTGAGTATTGCTTACCCAAGGTCCTGTTGTTGTTGTTGTTTTTGAGACAGGGCCTCACTGTGTAGCCCCATTTGGCCTCAAACTTGAGGCAGTCATACTACCTCAGCGATTATAAGGGTGTACCACGCACCGGCAACATTTCTTTTGTTTTGTGATGGTGATGGTATAGGAGATCAAACCAATGGCCTGGCACATGCTAGGTGTAATATAGTAATATAACAAGGTGAGTGTGACTCTTGTTGTCACACTGATTTACCTTCTGCTCTAACAAATAGCTGGAGACATTGTTTCCCTGGTGCCTGCTTGTACTGTATTTACACCATGACTCTGTCTCATAATAATTAAATCAGTCATATGCAACTGTAAATTTATTCACTTATTTTACAACTGGAATTTTAAGGTAAAAGAAATGTGAGGAATGTGTTGGCCAGTAAAGGTTTAATGTAGTGCTTTGGGAGCAGAGACTGGAGTTGCTAGTGACTTGATTGTTTAGTTATAGCCTTGGGCAAGTTACTTGTTTACCAAACCATTATTTCCCAGCTGTAAAATGAAGGCCAGACCCAGATGCTGTCTATGAACCTCTGCAGTTCTTAAATTATATGGTCCCTTCTCCAGGAATGGAGGTGCACCCTGCACTTGGGAGGCTGAGCCAGGAAGATTGGCATGAGTTTGAGGTCAGCCTAGGATATATGGCGAGACCACGCCTTAAAAATACAAAACAAAACAAAACAACAAATATAAATTATGTGACCCTAAATTCCTAAACTTTTAATTCCTAATCTTACCCAGTAGAAAGCCTTGATTTCTGACAGAAAAGCCACACTAATGGGCACTCTGAGGAGAAGGTATAGAGAGGCCTAGGGAGGCTTCTAGGAGAGCTTCTTCTAGGGTTCTTTCAGATGGAGTTGCCTCGGGGAGGTATGAAGGTTGTTATTTTTCTTCTTCCTCAGACAGAGTACCCAGTACCCACAAGTTAAGGAGGAAAGGTTTTTGTAGCTTAGAGTTTGTAAAGGTTTCAATCCATAATTGGCTGGCTCCAAGGTAAGGTGGCATGGCAGACTGGCATCACAGAGGAGAAACAGTTAGGGTAAGTGGACCTCACCCACCCTTAATCCTACCACCTTTTTTTTTTTTTTTTTAGGTAGGATTTCACTACTTGAACTCACTTTGTAGTCCAGGTTGGCCTCAAACTTGTGGGGCTCCTCCTGCCTCAGTCTCCCAGCTGCTAGGATTATAGGCATGTGCCACTATACCCAGCAGTCATGCCACCCTTAATCTTAGCATTGCACCATGAATCAGTCACACACAATTGATTTCAGCCACTTCTGAAAAAGCCTCACCTATGACAGCATGAGGCTTTAGGGGAACATCTAGACACAAGCTATAACAAAAGACAATGGCCTCTAATCTGGGGTGGCAAATTAAACGGAATTAGACAAGAGGGCCTGTTTAAAACGTTGGGGTCCTGAGCATAACCAACTCATGGAACAAATATACTGTTATTTGGTATATAAAAGTAGTGTTTGGTAACAAGGGTATTTGGTTTTTGTTTTTTGGTACTGGGAATCAAACTTACGACCTTGCACTTGTCAGGCAGCTGTGTATGCTGCTGACCTAAATCCTCAACCCTAGCAAGGGTATTTGTATATTGAGTTTTTCTAATTGCTGATAAAGTAAGGAAATTGAGAGAGACCAGATAGTGTTAGAAGAAAATCTGACTAAGACTGAAAGGAGGAACAGTCTTTTTTTTTTCTTTTCTTTTTTTTTTTTTTTTGGAGGAGCAGTCTTTAAGGGAGCGGTGAGACTTTATGTGATAGGGTGACAAGATAAGGTAGGTTTTACCTGGCCAACGTTAGTATAATAGCATAGGGAACATAATTTTCACCTATGCCCAAATGTGCCTCAGAGGATCACGCTGACAGAAGGTACTTTAGGATTTTTGTAAAATCTTGCAAGGACAAACGCGTCTGTGTTTATTTTATTAAGTTTCAATTAACATATAAAACTGATTTTTCCCTTTATAGAGCTAAAGTTCCTGTCTGGCAGGTACAAAGCTGTAAGTACAAAAAAAAGAAAAAAATTATTTTCCTCAAAAAATTAAGAGTAACACTATCACCTGGTCCCACAATCCCACTACTGGATATATATCCAAAGGAAATGAAATCAATATGTTGAAGAGATACCAGCATTTCCATGTTTATTGCAGCACTATTCACAATAGTGAGGAAGTGGAAAAACCTAAATGTCCATCAAATGACAATAGATAAAGAACATACAGTACACCTATAAACTGTGGGGAAAGGCTGACCCATGAGTACCAAGTCAAGTCGCGAAGGTTGAGAGTGCTGTTACACTCTAGATGGTCTTTTGAAGGTGTGGTCCTGGGAACTAAACCTAGACTCAGGGCCTTGAGCATGCTAGGTAAGTGCTCTCCCACTAAGCTATACCCCAGGAACCCCATCTTACATCAATCAAAGCAGAATTCATCTCTTTTTCTCAAAATCTTTGTCTTATTTCTGTCACTATCACTACAACCTACTTCATTGCCAGTGTCAGAAACCAAGAAGGTGTTCTTGATTCTTCCTTCTGCCTATTTGGCCAACTAAGCTAGTCTGGGTTTATTCCTTTCACCACACCCCCAAAACAATGTCTAGAATGATGTTACATAATAATTTATTATAGTTAATGATAATTACTGTATATTTCAAAAAAAGCAAGAATAAAGGATTTTGAATGTTTTTACCACAAAGAACTAGTAAATATTTGAAGAGATGGATATATTTACACTAATTTAAACATTGTATGACATGTTTATGAACACAGTACTCAATGTATATTATAGTTTTTATGTGTCAGTTAAAAAGTTTGTCATGAAAAAAAAAAGGTTTGTCATGGTGGCACATTAAATTTGAAAATGTGATTTCATCAGATGCTCATAGGAGGTTCATTTGTAATTTACTTAGTGTTTAATAGTTTTCCCCAGTTTATTCTTTTAATATTCCTCTCAGGCTAAGAGTGTAGTTTAATTAGAGCACTTGCCTAGCATGTTCCAGGCCCTGGATCTGGGTTTACGTCCTTGTCTGTGCATCCCCCCCTTGAAAAATTAATGTTAATAAAAATCTTGTAAATAGTCCTCTGACTACCTAAGTTGTATATGTTTTTGTTTTTGTTTTTGGTACCAGGGATTGAACTCATGACCTCATGCTTGCCACGCAGGCACTTAGGCCGCTGAGCTAAATCCTTAGCCCCAATTGTGCATGTTTTTAATTGCCATCTATTTGCTGATTCCTAAATCATCATCTTTGGGGGTTGGAGTTCCAGGGATTGACAATGTAGCTGTATCCCTAGACTTTAATGTATTTGTTTTTATTTGAGACAGGTCTCATTAAGTTGCCTGGACTGAGCTTGAATTTGGGAACCTCCTGTCTCCTCTTTTTGTTTCCCATCCTGCTTTCTTTCATGAAGCTTAGCCCTTGGGTGTTGACCAGGCATACTACATTACAGTAACAAAAATGGAATTCATCTTTTTCTAAATATCTTTCCCTTCTATTTCTGTCACTGTCACTATGACCTGCTTCATTGCCATTGTTAAAAACCAAGAAGGTATTCTTGATTCTTCCTTCTGCCTGTTTGGCCAACTTCATTATTTTCTTTCCCTCTATTATAGCACATTAGAGTTGGTCCCTTTGCTGTTCTATTTTAGGCCCACATCATTTCCTGCCTGCACTGTTATAGTGACCTTTAAAGAAACGCTTTTACAATCAGAAAAAGTTAATATATTTTCATTATAGGAAATGTAGAAAACATATAACAAGACGGTTGTTCATAATTCTGAGATATAATCACTATTACCATTTTAATCTCCCTTTCATGTATTTTTTTACATATTTGAGGTAATTATTTGTATGCATCCTCTATTTTTCTTAGCATTTGCTGATGTCCATGTTTACAAAGAGTTTTACATAACACTTTTAATGGTTAAGTATTCAATTGTAATAACCAAATATTCTATTATTTATAATAACTTAAATAGCTGGTCTCCCAATCTACCTTCCCATCTTTGCCAGTTTGCCCATTAATTTAACAACAGTAACCAAAAAATATAATAATAATTTGAGCATCTTCTGTATACTTTATGGCTTTCAAAATGATCTCTGTTCAAGGCATATACAATTACAGTCTTTCCTGCTTAAAATTCTGCAGTGGCCCAGAGGCAGGTTAGCACAGTGAGTAGAAAATAGATTCTGTTTGACACCCCTGGCTCAAGCCTCACTTGTATCATTTATTTATGTGTATTTTAGGCCTTTTTCAGTACTGGGCATGGAATCCAGGGCCTTTGCGCTGAGTTACATCCTCAACCTTTTTTTCTTTTTTGAAACAGGGTTTTAACTGAGTCACTAAGTTGTTCAGGCTAGACTTCAACTTGCAGTCCTTTTGCCTTCCCCTCCCCGAGTGCTGGGATTACCGGAAAGCAGTTTGATTTTTGTTTTTATTTTGAGACAGAATCACACTTTGTAGCCTGGATTGGTCTCAAACTCTCAGGTTCAAGTCATCCTCCCTCCTTAGCCATCCAAGTAGCTGGGATAACAAACAGGTGACACCGTGGGGGTGGGATGTCTTTTAAAAATGCCTTCCAGCTGAGTTTGGTGGCACATGGCTGTGATCCCCGCACTCTGGAGGCTGAGCAGGAGGATCTTTGTGATTTCAGAGCCAACCTTCACTATAGTCTCACTTTTTACTATGAAATTGAATCCTTTCTTGGTTTCTGAAATTCTTAGGCAAAAATCTCTACAGTAGTTCATTTTCTTTCTATTTTAAAAATAATCATTATCTGTGTATTGACTGTTGATGAGCTGTTTTCCTCCGTAACGGTTTGAACCCATAAGGTCATCTTGGTCTATATCTTTAGAAATGGCAAAAGAAGCTGATCCATTCCTCATTTGAATATTTGAATATGCTTAGTGTTTTCAGATGAAGTGAGAACAAGGGCACTGTTTTTAAAGTTCATTCTGTTATATTGTTTGTCATTTGAAATTTTCAAAGGTTAAGGAATAATGAACACTGCCCTTTTCAAGATTTAAGCTTCTTTGAATAGTAATGCTTGACATGGAACTAGTTCAGCAAAGGCTAAAACCTACAAAAAAAAAAAAAAAAATCATTTGTGAGTCCCAGGAGCCTGTATTTTGAGAATAATACCAGTTTATGGTGATGGGGTTGTTAAAGCATCTCTTATTCTATAAAGATGATACTTTAGATGTCGACTTTTGGATGTAAATTTAATCTCCTGCTTTTCTTCTTGCTCTTCTGTTCTTTCCCCTCCAGTGGCAGCATGGAGCCTGCGTTTCACAGAGGAGATCTTCTCTTTCTAACAAATCGAGTTGAAGATCCCATACGAGTAGGGGAAATTGTCGTTTTTAGGATAGAAGGAAGAGAGATTCCTATAGTTCATCGAGTCTTGAAGATTCATGAAAAGTATGTATGAAATACATCTCCATTTCTCAGTATTTTTATTCCAGCTTTGTGGTATTTAATTTTGATAGCATAAAGGCTATAAAAATGTGAGGGCCACTAGCACTTCTTTCAGCCTGCTTTTGTGAATGTCTGACCACCTGGTGAATGTTTGGAAAGCTATAAATAGGTATTTATTTTTTTGATACCAGAGATCAAACTCAGGACCTTGCACTTGCCAGACAGGTGTTTGTACCACTGAGCTAAATCCCCCGGCTGTAAATAGCTGTTTAGTATTCATCTGTCCCCCTGGAGATTTTTCCATAGGTATGTCTCTGTTCTTTTCTACTTCTTACCAGTTAGTAAGTCTGTACTGTATAACTCCCAAAAACATGATACAATGATTGATTCAAAATAAAATATTCTGGTATAATAAGGTAACCTCACTGTTTTTTAAAAAATCCATAAAAAATGTAACGGGTATTTCGTTTTGTTTTGTTTTTCTGTACTGGGGATTGAACACCTGATTTCATGCTTACCAGGCAGGCACTTATGACACTGAGCTGAATCGCCAGCTGTCTAACAGGTATTTTGAATAAGAATAAACTTATCAGCTTTTAAAATCTCAAAATTTCTGAAATCTGAGCCTAGGCATGGTAGTACATGCTAAGGCAAGAGGACTACCTCTAGTTTGAGGCCAGTGTAGGCCACATAGTAAATTTAAGACCTGTCTGGAATGCATAATGAGACCTTACTTATTTTTGCTAAATGGTCCGTTAAATCCAGGGCCTCCATATTGAGCTACATTCTAGCCCTTTTTAAATTTTATTTTCCATTTTGAGACAGTCTTGGTAAGACTCAGCCTGGATTTGAACTTGTGATCCTTTGCCTCAGCTTTCCAGAGTCAGGATTGTAAGTGTGGGCCTCAGTTTCACAGTCCTCCTGTCTCTCATTTCCTGAGCACTGGAGTTGCAATTGTGTGCACCACATTTCGATGAATCTTGTTTAGGGACTTTAGGTTGGCTAAATCTTGTTTAGGGACCTGAGATTCACTTCAAGGTAGAGATGAAGTAGAACAATGAGCAAAGACTTTCTCCTCTCTGGGTCTTAGTTTCCTCATCTGGAATATGAAGGTGTCAATAAATTCCGAGATGTTTCTGAGTTCGTGACCCCTATCCAGCTACAGATTCCTTCCTTTCCACATCTGTGGAGGTTCTAGCTAAGAAAGACTGATAGAGAAAAACAAAGTAAGAAAAAGGAAATGTCTTGGGGGAACACAGAAGCAGTGAGCAGCTGTGTTGATTTATTTAGGCTCTTGACTGTGAGGAGCCTAAATCATATTGTTACCACTTTACTTTGTTTGTTTAGGTGGTTTGGGTTTTATTGAATTAGCCTCACTGTGTAGTTCAGGCTGGCCTTGAACTTGCTTATGTAGCCCAGGTTGGCCCCAAACTTACAATGATGCACCTGCTTCAGCCTTCCAAGTGCTGGAATTACAGGCCTGTGTATTAATACTCTATAAAGGAGTTAATTTTCTGTGTTTAAAGAAGCCTAAGCTTGGTGGCACACCCTTGTAGTCCTAGCTACTGGAGAAGCTAAGGCAGGAGTATTGAACACTGGCTTATGATCAAGTATTTGAAAGGAGAAATTTTGCCAGTGGGACAGTTTAGTAGTTAATTTTGTTTAGCCCTTGAAAATAGCGGTATTTTTTGGCTTTGGATTCTACCAGCATTTAGTTTTGGGGGGTGTTTTTTTCCTCAACTATGAAGTGGTTATTTCCTCTTGCTAACGTCACAGTGTTGTGTGGCATTTTTTGTATTATGTGGGTTACCTTTTTAAGCTTTGGCAACTAGGCGTGGCTACCCCTAGTCTCAACACTTTGGGAGATCAAGGTAGGAGGATTGAGCCCAACCTGGGCAATTTACCAATTTAACAAGAGCCTATCTATTGTGATCTTACAGCCTGAGAAGCGTAATAAAACTCCACATGCCTGTCCCTCATTCCAGTTATTAATGTGTAGCTAATTCTGCCCAGTTTATACTCCCACCCCTCTTCTATATTATTTGAGTCAAATCCTAGACAAATCATGTCATGTGTAAATATTTTAGTAAATGTTTAGGAAACATAATCATCACTAGGCTGTTAGTGTAAAAAAGGACTGGAGATGTATCCCGGTGTGAAGGCCCTAGGTTCAAATCCCAGCCCCCCTAACCCCTCAAAGCTTTGAGTTCTTTTGAAGAAGATACTATTAAGTATTTGGCCCCTTGGTTAGCAAGGGAGAGTCCTATATAAATGGTTTCTGACTAGGGTTTTGAGCTTATGTGTTATGAGGTGCTGGAATAAATTGTAATAATTCTTTTAAGAACTTGGCAACAGCCTTATGTGGTGGCACACACCTGTAATCCCAGCACTTGGGAGGCTGAGGCATGAGGATTGCTAGGAGTTCAAGACCAGCCTGGGCTACAAAGTGAGTTCAAGGTCAGCCTCAACTGCATAGTGAGACCTTGTCTCAAAAAGACCAAAAAAAAGGAATTTGGCACGATCAGATAATACTGCTCCACCATTATTGTGCAGATGACAGATTTATGTGTTTCAAAAAAAATATAGTGATTTTTTTATTAATTATAGCCCACTAGGATAAAATTGAATGTATTTGGAGTTTTTTGTTTGTTGTGTCTTGACAAGTATTTTCCTGTCAAATCTGTAGCATTCCTTCTCTTCCTTGGGGGAGCGTGCCACTTCCTGTTTTTCCTCTTTTCCTGTCTCATATTACTTTTTTTCATCTGTGGGGTTGGTGTGTCTTCCTGGTTGACTTGACTTCCTTCCTATTGCCCCTGACTTAGTTTTGTGACCAGCTCCTCTTGGTACCTGTCCTGTTTTCCCTTCCAGGATTTTTCAGACCTTCTTCCACTTACTGAATTGCCAGCCACAAGTTGCTTTGCTCTGTGTATATTTGCATTTTTTTCCTAATTGGAATCTCATCTTTAATGCAATGTTTGCACCTAACTAATGTTCGTGTTCACAACACCTCCTGGTTTAGTTTTATCTACAGATTTAGCTCCCGGTTTCTGATTTAAAATCTAAGTGGATATTAGTGGAAATCTGAAACTAATCTTCTAGTTTAGTAGTTAACTCAAACATTAGAATTAATTGCAGGCTGGTACTTACTACTATAAATTATTCTTTGCTTTTGATGAAACTTTAAAATTACTAGAAGGAAGTTTCATGATTCCATAGTAAAATTAAATTGGTAATTTGTTTTTATTAAGCAAGTTATTGTTCTTACATATCCTGACATGTCTGAAGAATTGGAAGTTTCTTGCCCTCCTGTAATCCCAGCACTCTAGAAGGCTAAAGCAGAAAAATTGCAAGTTCAAACCCAGATTGGGCAATTTAACAAGACCCTATCTCAAATTTTTAAAAAAAAGATTTTTTTTCTTTTAAAATTTTTGGGGGCTGGGTACCAGGAATTGACCTCAGGACGTTGTGTTAGGCAGATACTTCATCACTAAGCTAAATCCCCGGCCCCTTTTAAAACTCTTGTTCTGGCAAGTAATCATGTCTATTGGAGTTAAAAATAAGATAGTGATTAGTTGTAGAAAACTAAGCCAGGCATGGTGGTGCACTCCTATAATCCTAGCACTGGGGAGGCTGAGGCATGATGATCAGCTCCAAGTTTGAGACCAGCCTACGCTATAGAGTGAGACCAAGGCCAGTCTGAACTGTGTAGTGAGGCTCTGTCTCCAAAAGACTTCCCACCTCCCACAAAAAGCTATAAATAGTGACTGCTTACTATCTTGGTCTGTTCGTTTAGATTTTTGTTTTGTTTTGCTTTTTTGAGACAGGTTCTTCCTATGTATGTAGTTAAGGCTGGCCTTGAACTCATGACAGCATGACAGTCCTCCTGCTTTAGCTTCCCAAGTGATGGGATTACAGGTGTGCACCACCACATCCAGCTCTACCTTTGTGAGTTTTTGTTTCGTTAGAGACAAGGTGTTGCTAGTTCAGGCTGAGTAGAACTTACTCAAGGTGATCCTCTTGCCTCAGCCCCTTGAGTGCTTGCATCACAGTCATGCACCACCATGCCCAACATCTTGTGGAAGGGGGTTCTTTTTTTATTTAGAGATTTTCTAGTCTGAGAAGTGTAATAAAACCCCACATGTCTGTCCTCCATTCCAGTGATTAATGTGTAGCTAATTCTGCCCCATCTATACTTGCACCCCTCTTCTATATTATTTGAGTCAAATCCTAAACATTATATCATGTCATGTGTAAATATATTAGTAAATATCTAGAAAACATAATCACTAGGTTGTTAGTGTGAATAAACAGTAAATCCTTGGTATGGTTTCCAAACTTTGTTCAGATTCCCTGTTATATATTAGCTTTTTCTAACTGCCTGAATCCATATTCGAAGAGGTTTTTGAATGTAGTTGGTTGATGTGGCTTTGTAAGTTTATTTTATCTAGATAGATATTCCTTCTCCAACTTTCTTTGTTCCTTAGAATTTGTTACTTGAAGAAACTGGGTCATTCTGTGTTTTCCCAGTCTGCATTTTGAGGAGCAATCTACTGTGTTTATATATTTGTTCTTTATATTTCCAAAAAATGTCATATATGTCTTACTATAAAAATGAAGTTATATAGCATGTGCTTTGTTGTAATCTTTTCTTTATTTAAATTTAAATAATCATAGCCCAGTGTGGTTGCACACACTGGTAATTCCAGCTCTCGGGAGGTTGAGGCTACAGTTTTGTTTTTTTTTTATTATAATGTGTTGAATTTTGTGTTTTGAGACAGGGTCTCACCATGCAGTTCAAGCTGGCCTTAAATTCACTGGGTAGCCCAGGTTGGCCTCAAACTTATATAAACCTCCTACCTCATCCTCCTAAGTGCTAGGGTTATAGGTATGTGCCACCACGTCTGGCTATTGTTGGTCTTTTAATTTGCTTTTAGTCTTTATTATAAACAACACAATTAGGAACATCCTTTAGAGCTAATTAGCAAATTCTTTCAATACTAAGAGTAGTAGTAGAATATTCCAATTCCATAGGACTTTTTGTTTGTTCATTTTTTTGAGACAGTGTCTCACTATGCAGTTCAGGCTGGTTGTGAGCTCACTTTGTAGCCCAAGCTGGTATGAACTTCCAACAATCCTCCTGTCTCAGCCTTCTGAGGGCTGGGATTACTGGGGTGAGCCACCACACCTAGCTTTACTATAGGAATTTTTGCTTAACAAGAGCAAAATTTTGTCTTTCAGATTCCTTGATAACTTGAATTTTTCTTACTTACTCTTTTAAGGCAAAATGGGCATATCAAGTTTTTGACCAAAGGAGATAATAATGCTGTTGATGATCGAGGCCTCTATAAACAAGGACAACACTGGCTAGAGAAAAAAGATGTCGTGGGGAGAGCCAGGGGGTGAGTATTGAGGTGAAAAAATATGTTGAGCTTTTCCTGGGTCCTAAAATATAATCCTTGGATTGGGTCATCTGATCCTTCACAGAGTGCTTAGCGGTTTAGTCCTGGTTCCATCAAATAACCTCTGCGTTCTTTGCTTCTTTAAGCACATCTAAATCTTCAGGTCACTAGGGATAAGATGGCAAATTGAATGTGACAGTTTAAAAGTTCATTTGTTTATTTGATTCTCTCAAAAGATGTTATTGGAGCACATGCGTGTAATCGCAGCACTTAAGAGGCTGAAGCAGGAGGATCATTGCGAGTTTGCGGCCAGTTTGTACTACTAAAAAGCCAAAACCCAACAAAGATGTCATTAGGTGTCTTTCATGTGCTGTGTTGTCTGTGCTGGGCCAGGCCGTGATCACGGTCTAGAGCAGAATTAATCCTCCTTTGGGAAACCTTACTTCTAGAGATTTTTGAGTGACAGTGTTCTTCTAACTTAATTTTGTCTTGCTAATTTATTCCATACTGTTTCATTTCTAGTCTTGAAATCGATGGGGTCCAATTATATTTAAGCCTGTTTATTTCAGATTTTATCACAAGAACAGATCAGTGGAGGACAGGAATTGTAAGTTATGGTTATAAGGAAGTATAGAATTGTTACTATCTTAATGTCATTAATAGTATTAACAATAACTCGCCTTTGTTGGGGCTTACTGCATAGCGGAGACTTACTGTAAGTGCTTTATAAGTATTGCCTCATTTTAACCTCAGAACAACCCTGAGATTCCCATTCCACAGATGAGGAAACAGACACTCATTTACCTAAGATCACAGATGGCAGAAAGTAGCCAGCATCTCTGAAGCCCAGCTGTTTACTTGTCGCATCAAAATTCCTGTCCCCATGCTGGTTCTCACCATGTAGGTCCCTTGTAGCACTCTGCTGTCAGCCCCTCTGGTCCTCCTGACCTCAAGTAGACTGAATACAGAGCTAGTACACTGGTAAGCAACCTTCTACCCTGAGAAAGAAACCCTGTGACGTTGCTTAATGAGCACTGCCTTTTCTCCTACATGAGAGGTGCTCAGGTTGTGGTGAGAGAGGTTGGATTAGAACATACCATTGTGTTTCATGTCCTGCAGGGCTGGTTCTTGTGGGGTGTGTGCTTCCCTATTTCAGGGAAGCTGCATTTCTTTTTTTAAATTCGTTGTTGTTGTTGTTGTTGTTACCGTTACCGGGGATCAAATTCATGACCTTGTGCTTGCCAGGCAGGCATTTATGCCTATAAGCCAAATCTTCGGCCCTGAAACTGCATTTATGAGGACACTAGTAGAATCCAAATAAGGTTATCACTGCCTCTTAACCATTGTCTGAGGCAGGAGAATTACAAGGTGTGTTGTGTTGTGTTGTGTTGTGTTGTGTTGTGTTGTGTTTTGTGAAAGGGTGTCTATAGTTCAAGCAGTCGAACTATGTAGCCCAGATGATCCTTTTGCCTCAGCCTCCCAAGTGGTGGTGTTACAGGTGGGCACTACCACAGCCAACAAGAATCACAAGTTTGAGGCCAGTCTGGGCAAATTTGAGCCCCTGTTTTAACATTTAAAAAGGGCTGGGGTATAGCTCAAGAGTATATAGCACTTGCCTAGCACACATGAAGCTGTGGGTTCAGTTTCTTAGTACTGCAAAATTACTGCTCATCTACCTCCATAAATACTGTGAACCATTTAGTTTATGTTCTTTTAGGCTTTATGTACAGATAAAGGTGCAATAATTATTATATGCATGTTTATACATACATACATGAACATATTTATGAAGAAAGGATGGTCACACTACTTTATAACCCCTTTTCATTCTAAAAATGACTGGCATACTTACAAATCAGTGAATCTATCTCTGTAGCCTCCTGTTGCTGCCTACAGTTTGTAGTTTTGGATTTGTCATTGTTGTTTAGATTATTTTTGAGTTAGGGTGTCGTTGAGTGGCTCAAGCTGATCTTGTACTTCTGGTCTCCAGTGATCTTCCCTAGTGGTGAGGGCTACAGTGGTGTCCATTGTGCCTACCTTTTTCCGGGGTTTTAACTGTGAGCAGTGCTGTGATAAACATCCTTGATAAATACATCGTGACCCCTCTATCAAGCTTTCACAGGAAACTCCCAAGAAGTGGAAATGCTTGTGCAATATAAGCATATGTTAAGCCCTTGACAGATCTTGCCATGCTGTTTTATGTATGTTCCTAATGGTATGAGCAGGGTATCCACACATGTGAGGCTTGTTCTTAATTGTTTAATACCACTCTGCCAGCTCTGGGCCTGTGTCAGGTAGAACATGCATCATTCTATAAAAGGTTGGAGAGGCCAGACTTCCACTTAAGTAATTTATATGTGAAGGTTTGAAAAACACCATTGCTGTTTCTAAAATCCTAACTAAAATGCAGACCTTTTGGTGGCTCTTAATAAAATGTAATAGTCTCACTAAATTAAGTAACTTTCTGTGAAGTATAAAGCATCTGAAACATGAACAGCAGGTGCATAGTCTCTGAACTATAAAATTCACTTTCCATTGATTACACCACCACTCACTCATCTTGACAGATAATTTAATATATCACTGTGTTTTGTAGAAATTGTACCTGTAAAACACTAAGCCAATATTTCAAAGTCAGACTGTGCTCATACTTTGCTTTCCTGTAGGCAAGTGTGTGGAGTGTGTGGTCCTTAATTTCTCTTAGTGAGTTTTTTATTTGTATACACGAATGCTGTTGATTTTTGAGTATTGACTTTGTTTTCAACTATGAGATTAAAATTGGTTATTAAACCTAGAAATCTTTTGGTGAAGTTTTTGAGGTCTTTTATGTAGAGTATCATGTCACCCATACATTATATAGTTTAATTTCCTTTCCTGTCTTTATTCCTTTTAGATCTTTCTCTTGTCTAATTGCTCTGAAGGTTTCCAGAACTATATTGCATAAGAGTGATGATAGTGGAATCCTTGTCTTGTTCTTGATTTTAGAATGAAAGCTTTCAGTTTTTGTCTCCTTAGTATGATGTTGGCTGTTTTATTTGTCATAAATGGCTTTTATCAGATTGAAATAAAGACCATCTAATTCCAATTTTTCTGTAGAGATTTTATTATGAATGGGTGTTGGACTTTGTCAGGTGCCTTCTCTGTATCTATTGAAATGCTCATGTGGTTTTTGTCCTTCGCTCTGTTAATATTATTGTAGCTTGGCATAACTGATGCCATCTTGTACTCTGTATTTGACTTGTGCCCTGTGTTTGATCCAGAAGAGTGAAAAATTATAGAGTTCAAGTCCCATAAGAAAAGCAAATAAGCTGCACTCACAAGAAAAAAAATTAACCTGCTCAACAAAGAAGCAGGATACAAGTGTCAACCAAAATTAATGTAAGATTTTAGCTAAATTGTTTCCAACAAGATGTCTTGCTTTTCGGTTTTCTGCTTTAAAAATACTGTAACCCTCCAGTTCAGGGCCACTTGGTCTGACTCTGAAACAAGAGTCTACGCAGGTGGTCACTGAGTACAGCTAATAAAATCCCAAAATTTGTCAGTTTGGCTGCTTGGATTCCTATAGTGATTACGAACCCACTTTAATGTAATTGACTTGTATGTTGAACCATCCCTGCATCCCTGGGATGCATTCTACTTGGTCATAGTATATAATCTTCTTGATGATTTGGTGTATTCTGTTTGCCAGTATCTTACTAAGGACTTTAGTACCTGTGTTCATTAGGGAACTTGGCCTTGTATCAGTCAAGGTTTACTAGAGAAACAGATATAACACAAAATATACAAATATATAAGAAATTAGAAGATTGGCTTGCCATGGTCAGCTACAGAGTCGAATGAGGAAGCATGCAGAGGGTGGGTATCTGCGTACTGGAGGCTGAAGTGACCCGCCCAAGGTGTGGAGCTCACTGCAGTGTGTCCCTGGGGAGTCTGTATCAGGAGGCTGATTGGTCTGCGGCAGAATGCTGAAGCTTCCCAGGCGGAAGCCAGTCTATGCCAGAAGCCAGGAAACTAAAGAGTTTGAAAACTAATAGCATTAGGTTCTCTCTAAATTTCTTGTAGAATTTAACAGTGAATCCATCAGGGTCTGGGCTTTTTTTTGGCATTAAGACTTTAAGTACACTTTCAATTTCATTGACTTGATACTGGATTATTCAGAATTTTTGTATCTTCTTGGTAAAGCTTTGGTAATTCATATGTATTTAAGGATCTGTCCATTTCTTCTGGGTTTTCCATTTTATCAAAATGCAGTTTCTCAAAGTAAGTATTGATCTTCTGGATTTCTGCAGGATCTGTGGTGATTTCACCCTTTTTGTTCCTAATTGCATGGATTTGCATCTTTTCTTTCCTTTTTTGATAAAGTTCATCAAGGGTTTGTCAGTTTTATTAATCTTTTAAAGAACTAATTCTGCTTCGTTGATTCTTTGTATTGTTTCCTTAGTTTCCATTGCATTAATTTCTGTTCTGATCTTTATAATTTCCTCCCTCATATGAGCTTAGGGCTTGACTTGCTCTTTCTCTGGAAACTTGAGGTTTACCAGTAGCTTGTTAGAGATCACTGTAGTTTTCTGATACGGAAATTCACCATTATAAATTTCTCTCACAAGACTGCTTCAGCTGCATCTCAAAAGTTCCAGTATGTTGTATTGTTATTGTTTAATTGTAGAAACTAATTTCTTTAGTTTCATTTGTGATCCATTGGTTGTTCATGGGAGTGTTATTTAACTTCCATGTGTTTATGAAGTTCTTGTGGTTTCTTTTGCCACTGATTTCCAATGTCATTCGAAAATGCACTGTGGTCTGATAATATGCATGGGATAATTGCAGTTCCTCTGCATTTTCTGAAGCATATTCTATGTGCTAATAAGTGGTCTACTTTGGAAAACATCCTATATGTAGCTGAAAACAGTGTGTATTCTTGATGCAGAATGGAACACTCTGTAGACATGTACTAAGTGCATTTGTTCAGAAGCTTGGTTTAATTCTGATAATTCTTTGTCAATTTTTTGTCATTTGATCTATTTGTTTTTATTTATTTTTTTTTTCATTTGATCTATTTGTGACAGTAGGGTATTGAGGTCCTCTTACAATTGCATTAGCGCTTATTTGATTTTTCATGTCCATTAATACTTGTTTTATACAGTTGGTTGTACTGGCATTTGATGCATACATATTTATGATTATTTTCTCTTCCTCTTGGGTTGTTCCCTTTACAAAGCTATAGCAACCTTTTTTATCTCTTAGTCAGTGGCTTGAAATCCACTTTATCTGCAAAAAGAATAGCTACCCCTGCTTTTTTCTAGGTTCCTGTTGCATGAAGTATTATTTTCCATTCTTTGACTTTTCAGTCTGTGAATTTTTTTTCACAGAATTAAATGTGTTTCTTTTATGCAGCATATTGTTGGATCTTCCTTTTCTCTTGGTTGGTTGTTTTTTGGTTTTGGGGTGTTTTGTTTTATTTTGTTTTCTGAGACAGGATCTTGCTGTGTAGTTCAGGCTGACCTTGAACTCACTGTGTAGCCCAGGCTGGCCTCTAATTTGAATTTGTGGTGATCCTCCTGAGGTCTGGGATTACAGGCATGTGCCACCACACCTGGCTCAGGTCTTGCTTCTTGGTTTTTCCACTGACAGGTGATTTTTGCCTAGCTTGGGGGTCAAGAAGGGGGAAAAAAGCTAACATAAAAAAGGTGTGACAGGCTGAGACTACGTAAGTGATTAAAACTGTTCTAGAAGAGTTTCAGGGGTAAAGGCCCAAACCATATTACAGATGATTGAGAAACAAAGATAGTGAAATCCAAGTCTGTATGAGAGCTTTTACACTCACTCACTTTTCTGACCATTTAACATAAAGTACCTGTTCAGGCTGTTTACCTGTCTCCCCACATAGATTGACATGTCTTGAAGGTCCTGAGGACATGCCCAGTCTCTGGCAGTGTCTCGGACCGCAGAGGTCTGAGACCCAGATCTGCAGTGATTCACCTACTCAGCAGCTGTGTGCTATGGGTCTGATCATCTGTTTCCTCATCTGTACAGTGGTGAACTCCTAACTCCCCTTCACTGGCTATGGAAAGGAGCAAATTGGATAATACATAGAAATAGGATTTGTGAACTGAAAATTAGTTGTCTGTAGAAAAAGATATTGATAATGTTTAGTAAATGATAACAGTTGTTTTACTTGGGAAAGTCTGTGATCAGTTTTTTATTTGTTTTAGATTTGTTCCTTACATTGGAATCGTGACGATTCTTATGAATGACTACCCTAAATTTAAGGTGAGAGCTTGTACTTTGTGTCTCATTAAAGGTGTGATCTTGGGGTGCTCGCTTCAACAGCACATATACTAAAATTTGAGTGATACAGAGAAGATTCGCATGGCCCCTGCACAAGGATGACACGCAAATTCATGAAGTGTTCCATATTAAAAAAAAAAAAAAATAGCAAAAAAAAAGATGTGATCTTGGGCTAAGGCGTAGCTCAGTGGTAGAGCATGTGTCCCCCCGGAAGTGAACTTTTGCTTAGTATTTTAAAGTGTTAAATTAATTGTATTTAAAATAAAAATGAATAACTAGATAACTTAGTAACTAATCATGGTTACAAAAGCCAGTTTATTAAATAATTATGAGGACTTAACAGATTTTAAAAGCTTCCTTAGGAGGTGAGGGTATAGCACTTACCTGGCACATGTAAGCCCCTGGGTTTGATTCCCCAGCACTGAAAAAAAAACACACACACAAAGTCATGTATGTGGTCTAATCATCGATACTCAGGAGAGTGAGATAGAAGCACTGCATGTTTAAGGCCAATTTGAGAAATTTAGTGAGATCCTGTTACTTTAAAAAAAAAAAAAAAAAAAAAAAAAGCCAGGCGTGGGATTAGGATTTGTGCTGATAACCCGAGTACTCTGGAGGCTGAGAAAGGATCACCACAAGTTTGAGAGCAGCCTGAATTATATAGCAAGACCCTGTCTCAGAGCAAAACAGAAAAATACAATTTTTTTTTTTTTGGCACTGGTTGGCATTAGTTTGTTTCCACACCAGAACCTGTGGGAGGGCACATGTGCACTGTGAAGTGCACTGGAGGGAACTTTCAGTCACAGGGTTTCGTATGCTGTCATTGTCAACACTTTTACATTTTTGTACATTGGCAAATTTTGTTTTTGTGAACTGTATCAGGTGACAAACATGACCATGGCTATCCTTTCCACAATCATGAAACAAATTAAGTTTGTGAACTGAGGTTCCACTGAACCAAAATAATGATAATTTTAAAAAATAAAAAGCGTTTGATATATAGCTACCTGAGTTTAATCCCCAGGAAAGAAAAGAAGTGGGGAGAGAAAGGAGAAAAGAAAAGAAAAAAGGCTTCTCTGACTTGCTGTTCTGTGTTTCTGTTCTAGTATGCAGTCCTTTTTTTGCTGGGTTTATTTGTGCTGGTCCATCGTGAGTAAGAAGCCTGCCTCGCTGTTCCTGGGAAGATGCTATGCTTTTTGTTACTGAGCATTCGGAGTGGATACTGGTCTGTGATTGGCAGAGTGGAGGACACACACGTTGGCGTTTCTTGGTGGCACTGGTTGGCATTAGTTTGTTTCCACACCAGAATCTGTGTGGGCGGGCACATGTGCACTGTGAAGTGCACTGGAGGGAACTTTCAGCCACAGGGTTTCATATGTTGTCATTGTCAACACTTTCACATTTTTGTACATCAGTGACTTTTTATATTAAAAGGTTGAGCCAAAGCCCCCAGTGTTTGTATTTTGAAGCCAAGCTTCACTTCTAAAGTGCCTACAGAGTCCTGAATATGCATCTGTGCATGAGCTCAGACATGCCCTTCCTCCTTATAATGGGAAAGGTGCAGATGAGGTAATCTTTAAGTTTTAACCTTTCAGAATTTTAAATAAAAGACTTTGCACATTTGACCCCATCCCTGAATTGTGTTTTTCGGAAAACTGAGTTGCTTTCCTTGCCTGGTTCTTGGTACACTTGAGGAAGGGAGACATGAAGACTTCTGTGGGAACAGAGCTGCAGCTCAGGTGATTGCCCTAATGCAAACATGTTGTCTGCTTTGTTTTTGTGAAGTAAGTGTATCGATTGATATTGATATGAAATCTCATTAGTCATAAAATTGAATCTTCACTGGAACAGCTAGTGTTCCTGAGGGGTTCAGAAAATCTCACTCATCTGTAAAACCGCACAGTCCTCTTAGCATGGACATTCCCTGCCCTCTCTGCCCAGCCTGTGTGAGCATCTACAGCCAGCAAATGGCTGGAGGCAGGCTTTCTGCCTGAACCTGGCTTGCTTTGCCCCAGTGCAGACCCAAGGAAGGCAGAACTAGTACCCACTGTGTGTTTTCTTATACTATTGCAGCCTTCAGGGAAATAGGAATAGGGAAAGCCACTATGGTTTCTGCTCTTAATTCTGACCTTCCCCTTGTGTTAATGTGAAAGCTCAGAGTGATCAAGTTTTCTGTGCTGGGACACTGATGAAATGAGAATAGAGACCTCTTAGCCACCCCTGTGGAGAACAGCACAGCCTCAGCAATGCCAGGCTAGCCTCCAAACTGGCCATGGGTACATAATGGTCTCAGGAGCATGAAACCTAGCAAAGCACTGCTCGGTGCCTCCCACATCTCTGAGGCTTGTGTAGTACTTGCATTTCCTCAAGAGCTGGAAGCTCTCCATCAGCTCCGTGTGGAAGGGCAGGATATCAGCTGCTACCTTCTGTTCTAGTCACCAGTGAAGGCCAGGTCAGCTGTCCCAACACTGTGTTGGGGGAGACCTTGTGTGCGTTACTGGTCAGAGTCACACATAAAGTTCCTGTGTGATCCCAGCCTGCCTGTGTATAAAGGACCTTAGGTCTCCATCTGTGCATACTCTCCTTAGAGCCCAACTGGAGGAAAGCAATATTTTTTGGTGTAGTTTCACACTTCATTTTTCTTCTTTTACTCAGCAACCTGAGAGTTCAACTCAAGTAATATACAAACATACACATGAAAAAAAAAAAAATGTCACAGCTGTCTAGTGTGCTGGCACAGGCCTGTAAACCCAGCACACAGGAGGTGAGGCAAGAGGATCTCAGCCAGCTTGAACTACATAGTGAAAACCTGTTTCAGGAACAAAACAGCCAGGCATGGTGGAACAATCCTATAATCCTACCACTCAGAGGCTGAGGCAGGAGGATCACTGCAAGATCAAGGCCAGCCTGGGAAACAAAGTGAGTTCAAGACCATTCTGAAGTACATAGTGAAACCCTGTCTCAAAAAATAAGGACAATAAATAAATAAATAAGACAAGAGAAACAATGGTTCTACTACTGAGTCTCCTGTTACAGTGGGTAGGCGTGACCTCTAGGTGCCTGTGGAATGTAAGCCCCTCCAGTACAAGCCTTTTACAGGTACTGTGCTCATTCATCCCATGAAGCAGTGTTAAATGTCAGTATAATCGGGGGATTTAGCTCAGCGGCATAAGCGCCTGCCTTGCAAGCAGGCAGTCGTGAGTTCGATCCCTGGTACCGATAAAAATGAAAAAGACAAAAAAAAAAAAAAAAAATGTCAGTATAATCATGCTTTAGGACCAGAGGCAGTAACTTGGGTGAGCACTGTTGAGCTGCTATTCTGGACGATCATTAAAATGATTTGTACTTTCCTGTCAGTAGTAAGTACATTGTCTATGTCTTGCCAAGATGAATCTGACAACCTCACCTCTCAAAGGTTCCATCTAGGCAGCATATACCTTTGCAAATTTAAAAATGCTAATCCTGGGTTTTTTGTCTGTGTGCCTTAGGTCCTTCCTATATTTCTTATCAATGGGAAACGCATTGGCATTTGGCACTTTTCTTAGGGAGTCAGATTTCTCAGAGAGCTTGGGCTTTGTGCTTTTATTTTGGTATTAAGTACTTGCATGTTTTGGGGTATCTGTACACGTTTTTAACAAGACAGCCAACCTGGTAGGAGCAGAGGGGGCTCGCGGCCTGTGTGGACAGCCTCTTCGTGCCGTGTCTTCACATTGAGCCTCCGAGATGAGCTTACTGCCCAGTTGCCTCCCCACATGCATGCGGCCTCCTGGATGCACTTGGAGCTCCATCACTTGCTCCCTTGCTACAGCTGCAAAGCTTAGCTGTCAAGCAACAAATAGGACCCTTCATCCACCGAGAAAGTCTGTGCAGAAAGGCTGCTGTGTCACCCGTGTCACACTGGCGGAGGAACTGGAATGTGCAGGGCATTCCCTCTCAGCTGTTCCTCCCTTTGCTGACCCACACCATCCTGGCTGTGCTCTCTCATTGGCAGCCTGGAGTCCCTGCTCCTTCACCTGCTAACACTCTCACCCATTAAGTAGACATTCATCAAGCATCCATGTGTCCCATTGTCAGCTAGGCCCTGGGGATACCAAGATGCCTAAGGCAAGGCCCTCCTACTCCAACAGGAACTGTGTTCTTGTTTGTTTGAGGCTGGGTCCCAACTATGTATCGCAGGCTGGCCTCAAACTGCTGTGTTCTGGGATTAGGGGCATGTGCCACCACAACAGGCCAAGAACACTAAGTGTAAACAGATGCTCCATATGGGCTCATAAGTATAGGAAGAGAAAAATAAAAATGCAAACAATTCTCCAGAAGTATTTCTTCCTTGTTTGTTTTGTTTGTTTTTGTTTTTTGAGGCCAGGTCTTACTGTGCAGTCCAAGCTAGCCTTACTGGCAGTCCTCCTGCCTCAGCCTTCTGAGTGTTGGGATTAGAGGCATGTACTACCACATTCTCAGCTCAATTGCTCGTTCTCTCTCCCCTTTCCCCCTCATTTTTTTTTTTCTTCTCTTTCTTTGTCTCCCCCACCTGTCTCTCATTTTCACCAGTGCTGGGGATTAAACCCAGGACATCACTTCCTTGTGCAACGCCTCCACTTTTTGATTAATCTTTCTGTGTGTACAGTGTTTCCTGCTTGGGAGGCTCTGTACATTTTTATGCTTCTGGAGCATTGTCCTCTGTAGGGCAGAGGGAAGCCTATCTCCTTACTGGCACTGGGACAAGCCCAGCCACCAGGATTCATCCTGGTAGATCCTCTAGTCCTTGTCACAATGCTTTGCTTGTTTTAGATTTTTTGGTTTGTTTGTTTTAGATTTATTTTTACACTGCCTTTTTTCATAAAGATATAGTTATGGGCTATAGTTATGGGATAAAATATGGGCTTTTTTTTTTTTATCAGTACCCGGGATCGAACTCACGACTGCCTGCTTGCAAGACAGGTACTTATGCCACTGAGCTAAATCCCCAGCTCCAAAATATGACTTTTTGTTTGTTTGCTTGTTTAGGGGGAGGTTGGAGATCTTGAGATCAGGTGTCACTGTGTAGTTCTGGCTGGCACTGAACTATGTTGCCCAGGCTGTCCTGAAACAAAGCAATCCTCCTGCCTCAGCCTTCTGAGTGCTGGGATTACAGATGTGTACCACCATACCTGGCTAAATATGAAATAGCTGATGGGCTGAGGGTTGAAATAAGTGTAAGAAAAGAAAAGGATAAAGTCAGAGATGAGATTAGTCCTGCTGGAGATTATAGCGTTAGCTCTCATCTCCTTGGCAGCTAATGCAATGATGGAAAGATAGAATGAAAGGAAGTCCTGTGGTAGGATCAAGGAGGTTCGAGACCACACTGGAATTGTGCAATAACCCTGTATTAATTAGCCTAGTGATTTTTATGGAGCTACAAAAGGCTCACAGTATGTAAGTATAGTTTAGCAGTTTCTGTAAAAAAAACAAAACAGCTTCATCTAATCAGCTGAGAACCTTCAGCTGTTCCTGCAAAACAGTTGGATAATTTTTTAAAAACTAATGATCTCTTAGGAAAAGACTAATCTCATACCTCCTTTTTATTTTGATAAAACACCTATCCTCCAGTCTCTTCACCTCACCAGCCAAGAATATTTTAGCTTATATTCTATGTTTGTGTTATAAAAATAATTATATTGAATCAGACTTTCAGAATATTTTACTTTTCTCACTGCTGGAACAAAATACCCAACATCCACAACTTGAGGAGACGTTTATTTTGAGTCACATTTCAGTCCATAGTCAACCGGTTCCGAGGCAGGCAGGGTGCCAAAGCAGAGGAGCCTGGCAGAGGAATAGTTGCTTACCTTTTGGCAGCTGGGGAGCTGAGAAAGTCCAGGAAGAAGCCAGAAAGGGAGCCCCCACTGCCAGCTCAGCCACAGGGACCTGCCTCTTCCAGTTAGACTGAATGTGAGTCAACTGTAGTTCATGCTCCAATCGCCCTGCAAACACACCAGGCTTTGAGGGCCGTTTTAGATGTAAGCCAAAAAATCTCCTGCCCTTGTCCTACTAATCTTAGGAGTTCCTGGAATGTACCTATCTCAGCTGAGAATCCTTTCTATAGAACTAACAGTTCTATTGGCCCTTCCATTTAGACTGGCAAGCTGGATTCTAGCTTTCATTAAAAGAGTCAAGTTAAAAGAATTTGTGCTCCTGCCTTGCAAGCAGGCGGTCGTGAGTTCGATCCCTGGTACCGATAAAAAGTTTAAAAAAAAAAAAAAAAAAGGGGCTGGGGATTTAGCTCAGTGGCATAAGCGCCTGCCTTGGAAGCAGGCAGTTGTAAGTTCAATCCCTGGTACCAGTAAAAACGAAAAAGACCAAAAAAAAAAAAAAAAAAAAAAAAAAGAATTTGTGCTCTGATCTTAATGTCAATTAAGTACATCAACTTGTATCAGGCTGTGTGTGATCAGAGTTCTCAGACCGGCAACTTATTTAAGCCCAAAATGAGAGAATGCTGTAGAATTCCTGGAGTTAGTTAAGAGTTGAAGATACGCTGGCATTTTGCTTTATCAAGCAGGTTAAGATATAACACCTGTTGCCAGGGCAGGGTCCTGTTGTCAGTAACATTATCTTTGTAGCTATCAAGGTGAGCAAACCTTTCCCCTATAATGCCTGTCATGGGCTTTAGACTCAAAGCAGTCTGCTTTTCCCTGGGTTCAACTATTAGTATTGACTACTTAGAATGTGCTAGGTGCTCTGTTAAGTGCTGTGTAACAAATGTGTACTTTCTTTTGACACAGTAAAGCCTATTCTACAAAAGAAATCAGAGGCGGCTCAAGGATTTCTCTGCTCTGTGCATTGCAGTGCCAAGCAAGACCTAAGGTCTGTGGGTTTGACTGTGTCTCCACACTGGCCACTCCAGCCGCTCCTGCCTTTGTAAAATTCACCAAGACTCCTAAAGTGCAGTAATGCCAGTTGCAATGCCAGTTGTTTGGGGAATTCCTCAAAAGCTGTAAATTTTTCTTCCATTGACTTAGATTATTAAACCTCCTGGAAATAGTGAAGTTCTCTACCAGATTTCCAAGCATGTAAAACTTTGGAGTTGAAGGAGTATTTAGTTTATGGAAACGTTCTCTTTAAATACATGAATATTACATGCAGTGATTCTGAGCTCTGCCTGGGGCTTCTCTGTCTCTCAGGCTTTCTTACTGGCCCTGCAGCCTTACTTGGCATAGCTGAACAGCAGCTTCTCAGCTTCTTAGCCACTGTTAGGGTGGTCACTCCTTTTTATTAGATGTAGGCTTTTTTTATTTTTAAAGATCGTCTTCTTATAAAACATTCTGTACCCTGGCAAGTTCTGTTTCTGAAAGAGTTCCTTCTTAATGGTTAAGGTACTGATGTTATAACTATAGTGAATGTTTAAATTTTTAAAACAATTTATCACAGTAAAATACAGTGCTGTAAGGGGCTGGGGATTTAGCTCAGCGGCATAAGCACCTGCCTTGGAAGCAGGCAGTCATGAGTTCGATCCCCGGTACCGATAAAAAGGAAAAAGACAAAAAAAAAAAAAAAAAAAAAAAAAAAAGACAGTGCTGTGAATTCTTACCCTCAGAATCCTCATTTTGAACACAACGTATCCCATCATTTGTGCCATTTTCTGAAGCAGCTCTGGAAGTCCTCTTTTGTGACTTCAATGGCGCTGTCATGGCTTGGCTCCTTGATTCAAAACATTTACCTACTTTGGCCTTTTGACTTCAGTAGAGAAGGGTTTTATGATGCCAGATCCAGTGAATAAGGCAGATGAGGACTCACTGTGTTGTTTTGGTTGGGCAGAAATTGCCATACACAGTTTTCATCCCATCACGACAGTGAGGCATCCAGGAAGGCCACTCAGGAAAGAGGGTTTCCAGAGCTGCTTCAGAAGTGGTGGGAATAATGGGATGAGTGTGGTCCGAGTGAGGAGTGTGTTTTGAAGGGATTCATACAGTGTGTTTTTAGTGTAATAACTGTATTTAAGCATTCACCCTGTATTTGGAGCTCACCTCATCGCTCTGATCTCCATGCCTTCCCCCTTACTTGGGAAATTCTTTGAGATCCCCCAATTCCCCCTGCCTCCTTCCTAAGGTGCTGTTCTTTTCCCGTTCTGGATTCTGATCAGGTACAGGGCTGTGTGCAGAGGTCTGTGACACAGAACTCCCACCAGCCAGCAGTGTGGACCTGTCAGCTTGCTGCCATCCCTTTGCACTCGGTCATGGCTGTCGAAATCTCTGCTTTTCCCTGTTCCTTGTGTTAAAGGCCCACAGTCCAGCTTTCTGCAATTGTTCAATCTCTGCAGCTAACTTGCTTTCTGTTTGGTTGACCACATCTGTAATGTGAGCATAACAGGTCTATGTGCTGTCAAAGCCCTGTCGAGGGTCAGAGGGGCATACGTGTAGGTGCTTTTGGGAAACCACAGTGAGCTGTGAAAGGGCATCATTAATCTCAGGAAAATGGAGATGTCACAAAAATATGAATGTAAGTCCTTCATTTCAAGACATTCTTTTTATTTAAAATGTTAAGGTAGTTTAAATGTTATTGGCAACAGTGGTATTAGTCATGTGCCTTTCATCCCTAGTCACCCTTTGGACTGTCCCATGAACCTTATTTTCTGGGGGTGCCCTTGAATGATGTCCAACCGTTCCAAAAGGGTCTTGTGTGAGCTCCAAGAGCTTCTCCATAGGCCTCTCTCATGGGTAGAGGCCTTTGGGCTGATACAGCCATCAGAGTGGGTGACACGGAGTCAAAGATCCCACAGGCTTCTGGAGCCAGTCTTGGAGCTGAGAGCCTGGGCTGTGTTAGAGAAACGGAGCAGGACCCAGGGCCACAGGGTTGGCAGGGTCACCTGCGGACAAACGTGAAACAAGGTACAGCCGGCTTCCTCTCCCCTCTTTGAGTGTTGGAGCCCCAGACTGTATAGCTCAGAGCTCCGTGTCTGCCATTCCAGCTGTAGGGAGCCTGACTCTGAGATGCTTCCCAGTGATTCAACCTCTCAGAGTTTGTTTCCAATAAACCGGAGGTGGAGGGGAGTATTTGTATTCAGTGAAGCAACACTCGCTGTGGACCAGGTCCCACTAATGTCTGCATCCAGGACCAGAGAGAAGCAGGTGGGAGCAGGACTGGTGCAGAGGAGGGGGGGCTCACAGGGGAATGAGTCTCCTGAGAAGGTGACGAGAGCTATATCTGTACACCATGGCTAAACTGTGACAGGAAGCAGAGAGGTGTAAATGCCAGGGTGGGGGGAAGGAAGCAGAGAGACTGGCGGGGGTGGGGGAGCTAGGGCCAAAGTAGAGTGTCCCTGCCCTGTGTCCTGCCCCGGCCACCTTGTAGACACCTCCCTGCCAGGACCGTGGTGCAGGAGGAATAGGCACCCTGGTGGTGCGGGGCTCAGCCTTCAGAAGAGCCCAAGTGTGGGCCTCACCCATTGTCCCCACTCACCACAGCAATGCGTCCCAGAGGAGGCCTCAGTGTCCTCTGCGAGCCTCCCTTGGCGCTTTGGATGCTTGTTCAGCGAGTGTCAGCACGGTTTCTTCCTCTGCCCTGCTCACGAAGCAACTGGTGCCCCAGACACTAGAGGAGAGTGCTGAGTGTAATAGGCCGAGCCCTGCGAGGGTACTGCTTCCCACCACCAAATAATTGTAGTAAAAATGCAAAGTTAAAAAGAAGACTGTAGGGGCTGGGGATTTAGCTCAGCAGCATAAGCACCTGCCTTGCAAGCAGGTGGTCGTGAGTTCGATCCCCGGTACCGGTTTAAAAAAAAAAAAAAAAAAAAAAAAAACTGTGGCAGTTTCCATTTTACACCTGGGACAAGGGAGGTCCTACCAGGCCAACACGTGTAGGAGGACCTGTGGCCCTGCGCCCTTTCTCTCCAGGGCAGCAGGTGCCCACCCTGCGCAGGCTGCCACATCCCGGGCGACTCCTGCACCCTTCCTTCAGAATGGCTCTGGCTCCCACGGGCCCGCTGCCCTGGAATGCAGGCACTGCGAGGAGAGACTGGGGCTCCATTTCAGCAGCTCCTCGGCTGCCTGGCACATGGCAGGTCCCCATTAAGGTGCATCGCAAGCACGCCTGTAATTCCAGTACTCCGAGGCTGGGGCAGCAGGAGCGCTTATTCGAGCCCAGCCAGAGCAGTTTAGCAAGACATTGCTTCAAAAAAGGAGTGCGATGAAGCCTGGACTACATACATGGTGAAACCTTGTCTCAAAAAACAACCAAACGAGGAAAGCCTGTGCTGCGTGGGAGAAACTCTCACCATTGGGCATCAGACACTTCAGCAGGAGCGAAGTGACCGCTTGCTGGCTGAAAGCCCCTTTGCCGAGGTCCGCGCCACACGCCCACCCGAATCCCGATCCCACTGAGCTGCTGGAGCGCACCGGGCAGTCCGCGCTGCCACTCAAGGACTGGCACGGCGCAAGAGTGTGGGGTGGTGCCGGGGGCGGAGCAGCTCTTGGCCCCGCCCCTGGGCGCGGGTTTAAAAAGGGGTGAAGCGGCAGCAAGAGCTGCAGCGGGAGTCTTCGAGGTTTGGGGTGCGCTATGACTAGGTTGACGCGGGGCACGCGGCTGCTGGGCGGCTTCCTTCTCTGGGCGCTGCTGTCTGCCAGCGTCGCTCCGTTCAGCTGGGACCTCCCAGAGTCCCGCAGCCGCGCGGGCAAGATCCGCGTGCACCCGCGAGGCAACCTCTGGGCCACCGGTAAGTCCTGGGACCCTGGGGAACCCCCAGCATTTTCCCAGCCCTCTGGCTACTCCTGATGCCTGAGCAGGTGGGAGCCCACTGACTTATTCAATGTAGCAGATGGGGATCTCCAGCCCCAGACAGAGCAGTGATTGTGCCAGAGGCACTCAGCATGCCCAAGGCAGAGTTGGTGCTGCATGCAGCTAATACCCCTGTCCTGGTGAGGGACTGTCTTGTGTTTTCTGTACCCACCGCCTAGGCGCCTCATCTTCCCTTTTCTGACACCCACCCCTCACCACCGGGCAGCACAACCAGCAGAATTCCTTTGCCCCAGCCTTTTGGTGGGCCACTGTCCCTCCACCTGCTCAGAAGAGCTGAGGCTGCATATTTGCCACCTCGTCCCGTGTCTGTGGCTCAGGGGCGAGATGGAGGCTTCCTGATTTCCTTCCAGGAGAGCTGAAAAGTGGGACATGGGGAACTTCCTTACTGGGGTAGGATTCCCACTCTCAGTTCCATGTGCCTTGGCACCTCCTTTCTAGGTCACTTCATGGGCAAAAAGAGCCTGGAGCCCCTCAGCCCATCCCCAACAGGGACAGCGCCCCACACCTTCCCAAGGGACCAGGAGCTGCAGCTGAGTCATGATCTGCTCAGGAGCCTTCTGCTGAGGAGAGCCCTGGGCCTGAGCAGCCCAGCACCCCACACCCAGGTGAGCCAGGCCACCCTACACCCAGAAGGGGGCCAGCCTCAGGAGCATTGCCAGCTTTGGAAGTGTAGTGGGGTTCGAGTGCCCTGCCAGGCCATGGAATGGGTGTGCATGTCAGGGTTTTAGGCTTGCTGTGCCCCGGGCCACAGAGAGAACTCTCCAAAGAGAGAAAGCCCACCACCCAGCAGAGCCCTGAGAGTTACAGGGCACAAGTTCCAACATGCAGGGTATTATTCCATCCCAGCAGTGCCCTGCTGTGTTCCGGATGTGCTTATGGCCACAGCTGCAACCCAGAGACCTAGAGGGGGGAGAAGCGCAGACCTTGCTCCTGAACCAGGGCTGTCTGCCTCAGGAACTGGTCAGTGGACGGTTTAGTGACATCAGCACTCTCCATGTTTTCAGCTTGGTCATTCTTTGTGTGGAGCTGCCCTGTGTGTTGAGGACATTGAGAGCACCCCACTCTCTATTCATCAGATGCCACTAGCACCTTCCCTTTCCTCCTTAAGTCATGACATTCAAAGTTGACTCCAAGCCAGGTATGACGGTGTATGCCTATCATTCCAGCCACTCAGGAGGCTGAGGCAGGAAGATTGCTTGAGCACAGGGCCAAGCTGGGCAACCTAGTGAGACCCTGTCTCTAAAGTCAAAAGCAACAAATAAATGCCTCCAGACATGACCAGATGTTCCCTGGGGAAAGTGGTCCAAAAATACTCTCAGTTATTAGCCACAGCCCTGTGCGTTAGTAGAGCCAAACCAGCTTCAGTGTCTAGCAGGGCTGAATGGCAGCTCCTCCATTCTCTCTTCTGCCCACCCTGCACCCCTCCTTCCATGGCACTTATTGCTGTGTGCAGAAAACAATGTGATGAAGTAGAAGGTGGGATCTGGCTACAGCATGCTGCATAGCCTAGAGAATCAGTACCTGTATGCCTGCAAAGTGTCACTTATGATACTAGAACTCTGGGAGACTGGGGCAGGAAGATCTCAAGTTTGAGCTCAGCCTGGTCAATTTAGTTTCTAACAAATCTATGTCAAAGTAAAAACTAAAAGGGATACACTTGGGTATGTAGCTCAGTGCAAAAGGCCTTGAGTTCCATCCTATCACAAAAAAAGAAAGAAATGTTGCTAGCCAGGCATGGTGGTACATAACCATAATGCCAGCATTTGGGAGGCTGAGACTGGAGGATCAGGAATTTGAGCCCATGGGCCAGGGATTTAGCTCAGTGGCACAAGCACCTGCATGGCTGCACAAGGTTGTGAGTTCCACCTCGAGAGAGAGGGAGAGAGAGAGAGAGAGAGAGAGAGAAGAAAAAGAATTTGAGTCCATGTTGGCTTACATAGTGAGACCCTGCCTCCAAAGGAAGGGAAGATGTCAACGCTGTCAGCCTTATCTTCCTCGTCCATAAAATAGCAACAATTACCGGTCCCTCTCCCATTAAATGAGCCCAGCTTGTGCTTAGCCGAAGGAGCCTTTGGTTTCCAAGCCATACAGACCGGCTGCCCGCCCACTGTATCTGCGAGCCAGAGTAGGGGCTGTTGAAGAAGGGAGGGGCCTTCCCCAGAGTGGGCCAACCCTGCGCTGCAGGGGGCGCACGCTCGCCAGACAGGATCACCTCTAGGGTCACCGATTTGAAGACCAGCCGGAGAATCTTAGGGGAGCAATACCCGGCTATGGGGGGGCAGAGCTTGGCGAGGGGTACTAGGACTTGACTTCCGTGATCTGACAGCTGCGACTACCCTGTGATATTGGGACCGTATTCAGGGGAAACCGCCACCCCTGGCTTCTCCGCGCCTTTCAGGAAGAAGGTGCGAGGGAGCCTGCCGTTTCTGGGACCGGCGCTGGGCCTGGCAGCCGCTCCCCAGCTCACCTGCCCTGTTTTCATGCAGTGCAGGAGGCTGCTGATGCACCTGCCACAGAAGTGACACCTGGAACAGGCGGGCGCCGCTCGGTTGGATTGCGCCCACCTCGCCCACCTCAGGAGGTGGCTGAATACGTCCCGGGAGCGGCCCCGTCTAGACGCAAATCCCGGACTCGGTCACTATGATTTCTGGCCGGGTCGCCAGGAATATCGCGGATGCAGACACAAAAGTATACTCGTGCTGTTACTTCTTGCTTCCCTGATGAAGTTGTGAATAAAGCCCTGCTCTTTACCGAAATGTCTGGTCCTCTCCTTCCAGCCCTGGTTGAGGGAGGACAGGGAACAGAGTGGGGTGGCAGGTCGAGCTTAGTGACACGGGCAGCCTCAGGCCCTGGCACCAGCTGGCTCTGAGCGATTCCTGCTGCAGGCAGGTTTTCCACGCGGCCAGAGGCTGGCTCCGCTCTCGCCTCTGCCCTCTGCTGGCTCAGGAGCAGGGTTCCCTGCCCGGAACCGGGCTGCTGGGCTTCAGTTACCTCAGTTTACCCCCACGACAAGTTGGTCTTTTTTTTTTTTTTTTTTTTTGTACTAGAGTTGGAACTCAGGGTCTCACGTACGCTAGGCAATACTCTGCCGCTGAGCTACAACTCGGCCCTTTTTAAAAATTTTACTTGAGACGAAGCCTCGCTAACTTTCCCAGGCTGGCTTCAAACTTGCGATCCTCCTGCCTCATCCTTGCGTTGTCTGGGGAGTTGTCTGGGGAGTCGGATCCAGACTCCGCCTTCTGCTGTCTTCTCTGGACTTCAGTAGAACTGCCCGAATAAATAAAAAACAATCCAGCTAAACTCGGATTTCAGATAAACTATTTTTTTTGTATAAAATGTCCTAAAAATATTTTCACAGTAAATTTGTTTAGTCACGTGGTCCCATATTAATTTTGACCTAGGGCACTGACCGCCCTTTCTTGAGCTGCAAATACCCGGTCTTGAAACGGATAGGAATTTGGCCCTTTCGGCGCTGCTCGAGGCAGACAGCTGGGTATCTCCGAATTTCCCGCAAAAACCCGGACCCCGCCAGACTCGCGCCCAAGGAGAGGCCACGCCCGGTCTCGCGAGATTTTTTGCCCGCCCCAAAGGCTCACGGAAGGAAGTTGGGCACCGGAAGCGACAGTTGCCATGGAGTCCGCGGAGGACTGGCTGGTGGAATCCTTGCGCTTGTAAATCGTTGGGGGCTGGGCATGGGGATCTGGGTCGGTTATGGGACGCGGGTCTGACGTGGCGGACGGGCCGTGCGGGCTGAGGCAGTCAAGGAGCTCTAGCCGTGAACCAGACCGAGGCTGGGGCCTCCAAGACTAAGCCCCACCTTCTGCGAAAGGGTTCATTCCAGCGTGCGCAAGTTTGATAAGCGAAGCCAGTGAAAGATTCACTTCCCAATGTAGAACAAAAATTTGCGGGATATGGTGACTCACGGCTGAGACTCTGGGAGGCTGAAGTAGAAGGATCGCAGCCTGAGCAACTTAGCGAGACTGTAAAAATAATACCAGAAGAGTTGGGGATGTAGTTAGGCGCAAGGACCTGGTTTCTACCACTAGTACCACCAAAATTTTTTTAATTTACAAAGAGATAACTTCTGGAGGGTCCTGATTACTCAAGGGACTGATTAGTTTGTGCCCCGCCCTAAGTTAAACCCTGAACACAGGTTATCCTTCATCCCCCACACTAGTTTGGAGAAATATTGGTAGCAGGGACTCCCAATGATGAGAACTGAGGCTCTGGGCTCCTGACTGTCCTGGTCCCAGACACACACAAGAGGGTAAAATTCGAGAAAAGACTTGGCCCCTTATCTGCATCAAGTCCAAGAGTGGGCCCTAACAACCGAGCCCAGCTCCTGGTTCTTTATCAGCAGAGCAGAGCCATGTGCCATGTGGAATTATGTCCCTGTCGTTCAGGTACCAGGATTTCCATGCATTTGACCTCTCAGCAGCCACTCGAGTCCTGGAATGGATTGGTGACAAAGGTAATGTGCCCTGCCTGGGCCTGGTCCTAAAGGATAAGGAATCCCACTCTCAGGAAGCATCTCAGGGGCTTAGCCTAGAGGGGCTCCTCCCTCTTTTTGGAGGGTGTGTTGGTCACTTGTTGCAAGCTGGCCCCCATGAGCATGTGTGTTCTTTTATTATTAAGATCCTCCATGTCGGGGCTGGAGATTTAGCTCAGCAGCATAAGCGCCTGCCTTGCAAGCAGGCAGTCGTGAGTTCCATCCCCGATACCGATAAAAAGGAAAAAGACAAAAAAAAAAAAAAGATCCTCCATGTCTGGCAAAGTGATGCAGACCTGTAGTCCCAGCACTCTGAGAAGCAGAAGCAGAATTGCAGATTTGAGCTGAACCTGGACAGCTAAATGAGACCCTGCCTCAATATAAAAACGGCTGGGGATGTAACAAAGTGCAAAAACTGGATTTAATCTGCATTACTGCAAAGAAAAATAATCCAGGCTGCGCATTAATGGAAAAGGGGGTTAGCCTTGCTCTGGGATACAGACAACAGTTTATAGATTAGACCATAATCTTTCTAACATTTGCTGATTTTTTTCTAGGAGTCTTTGTTGCTGGCTATGAAAGCCTGAAAAAAAATGAAATTCTTCATCTAATGCTACCTCCTAGACTTTCTGTAAAGGAAAACCAGGTAACTTGAAGTAGACATGCTGAGTGGACATGTTGATTTTCACTTATTTAGTAAATATTTCTGGAGTTCCTGTCACCTACCAGGTATTGTTCTAGATACTAGAAAGAGACAAGGAGTGGACCTCCCTGGTGGTGTAATAGTGGAGACGCCTATGCACATAGCTCAGTGCTGTAGATTTTAGGGCTCCTCAGGAGGGGACTAGTATTTCTTTAGCAAAACTAAAGATTTAGGGAGCAGTTAGGGCACAGCAGGTAGCTGAAGCCCTTAGAATGGTTTAGTTTAGATCACCTACGCAGTGATGGTGAACCTTTTAGAGCTATCAGTGATAATGAGCCTGTTTCGGCACTCGAGCCATGTAACTTGAGTGCACTGAGTTAGGATAGATACTTAGTGTATCAGAATTTAGAGAAGACAGATAAGGACAGAGCCTCGAAGGACATGTTTAAGGGCTGGCTATTAGGAGATAAACCCACAAAAGACACCAAGAAAGACTGGTCTTTGAAGTAGACATCTCAGACAAGGTCAGAGGTCAAGAGAAGAGAACATATCAAAGAAAGCTGGTAGCTCCCACATGTTGCTATAGAAGCATTCCTGTGCAAATTTAAGGATTCCTTCATGAGGAAGCTCTTGGTGTCCTCTGCCACCGCATTTTGCTCATACTGGTTGCAGCCAAAGGCTGCAGAGAAAGGGAAGAAGGTGTGGAGGGAAGGAGGAAAGAGACCAGAGCAGTAGCCAGGAGGAAACAGATCTGAGGGTTGCCCAAACCAGAGGCCTGACTGAGTCATAGGCTGTGGGGAAACTGCCCCTGAAGGATGAGCGTGATGTGCAGGAAGGGGGAGGCAGGCTCAGGGATTATGAGTCTGCTTCTGGGGACAGAGGTGAGGAGAGCTACGCTTCTAGGTGAGGGCTGAAGCCTGCAGGTCAGTGATAAAGGCCATGCAGGACAGGGATGGGGAATGCCTCTTCCCTTGCTGGTGTTGTGGGGCAGTGGTGGGGATGGAACCCAGGTCCTGTGCATGCTGGGGGTACGTTTGACCACTGAGCCGCACCCAGCCCTCTTCAGTTCTTTAAGGAAATAAAGTTTTCTTAGAAGGTGACCACGCTATGATGCCTAGTTGAAGGTTTAGAGTAAAAGTAGACAGGGCCCTATAGAAGGATTAAGCCCAGGAGAGGCTGGATTCTAGTTGCTGTGGCCCAATACCTGTCAGAGTCACCCAAGGACCACCTGTCCCCACACCCTCAGGGTGCAGCTGATATGCACATTCCTCGGCCCTTCCCTGACCCGGGAATGGAAATCTCAGGAGGCTGGGTTTGCACTTCCAGAACAGAGAGGAATGAAAGCCTGGCCTTTGTCCCCCTGGGTGTGGGGGGTGACTTTCCCAGTGCCTTGATTGCCTCTAAGCCTACATACCCAGGCTGAACTGTGGGGAGACCTGGCACCTGTGGCTGTCCCTCTCTGCGCCATGGCTGCCTCCGGTTCCTCACACAGAGGGGACAGTCAGGTGGCCAGGAGTAAACACTGTGCCTGCACAGTCCTAGGCTCTGATCCACAGCCCAATGCCCGCATGGCCTCCAAACAGTCACAGAAGCCCCTCATACCTTAGTTCTGCCTTGCGTAGAATAAGGATAAGAACAGGAGGCCTAGTGAGAATCTGCTGCTGAACATGGTGCTACTTGAGTGAACACAATGAAAGGAAACCGTTCTGTTTTCATTGCCAGAGGAGCCCCCAGGCTTCCGAGGGGACTGAGCAGAGAAGGGTGTCAGTGGCTGGCTGGTAACCCCTGCTGTGTGTGAGGTTGACCTGTCCGGTGACTCCTCTGGGAAGGCCTGGGGCATAGGCTTGTGTGGGCATGCAGGCACCTGGGACCCAGGAGGGACCTAGGGAACAGGTGGGAAGAAGGGAGCTGTGCATAAAGGTGTGAGGCCAGGGCTTCCAGACAGCAGCACTTGGCTCTGCGGGGAGGAGGCTCTATCACCAGCTATGTGACATTCAGCCTCTTTTCCGGAGCTGCCTGCCTGCTGTTCCTTTGAGAGACTACTCTTCTGACAGCTTCCCTTGGCATTTTAGGGCTTAGTCCCAGAAAGAGATTTCAAAGTGTGCCACGGGGGATTCTCTGACAGAGCTGTCCTGGAGCTAAAGCACGTGCCGGACACCAGGTATGGCCCATCTGCAGCCCCACCTCTCTCAGGATGGCTCTGCTGCCTTCCTGTCCCCATCCCAGCCCTCAGCACAAGACATATGTGAGTGCGTTTGGACACACACACACGTCTAGATCGTAAAAAAAGCATCATGTCACAGCATTTTGATTAGAGTAACCAGCACATCACCAGAACTATGGTAGGGTTAGACACATGCTAGAAAGGTGGGCTGTGTCACCCCAGGAGCTGATGGTGGACAGCAGGGTGAACCAGCTCACTGAGCACAGGCCAAGTCTCTAGTGTCCGCCCCTAGAGACCATCACAATACGGGTGGCTCTCATGAGCTGTGGCCCTGTCCCGCAGGCAGAGTGAGGCTGCTCTTCTGTTAAATGTGGGTGGCAGGTCTCAAGAATTGAGGGCTGGGGAGGAAAAGTTGTCACGGTCGAGACACTAAGATGTTCGAGAACTAAGATGTTCTGTCCACTGGAACAGGTTGCTGGTGACTAGTGGCTTTCCAGGTTACCTGCAGGTGTGGCAGGTCGCAGAGGACAGCGGTGAGTGAATTTAACTTGGTGGGGGCGGAGCTGAGTGGGTAGCACCCACACACCCACACACTGCAGGCCCCTCCATGGGCAGCATAGGGCAGCGCTCAGAGCCCTGGGAGGAGGACACACTGGCCCTAGGAACAGGTGTGAGCTGGAGGCCACCTCACATTGAGAAGCTACTGCTTCCCCATAGCAGGTGGAGGGAGGAGCAGGAAGTGCTGTCTCTTCTGGGAGTGAGGGTCTGGTCCGAGTCCCTGGCAAACAGGCGGGCATCAGCGCTTTGTCCTGACTCCACCCTGTACACCCCTCAGGACTGTGATTTTGAGATAGAGGCTTCACTTAGTTGCTAAGTTGCCCAGTTAAGACTTGAACTGTGATATTCCTGCTTCAGCCTCCCAGAATGCTAGGGTTACAGGTGTACCCTCTTGCACCGGCTGCTGGAAAAGCAGTCTTGTATGCATTTGCTTTCTGAGATCACTGACCCTGTGGGTTTTCCTATTGTTTGCCTTGTCACTTGTCCTGTGCTGTAGTTTGTGGTTGTTCCTGTCACTTACTTGGAGTTATGACGATATAATCTTTAATAGTTTTATTGTGATACTATGTTTTAATATATCATATAATTACCCCATTTCAATTGTATTCAGTGATTTATTTTATTTTATTTATTTATTTTGGGGGATACTGGGGATTGAACTCACAACCTCACACTTGCCAGGTAGGCGCTTGTGCCACTGAGCTAAACCTCTGGCCACTCATTTACTCTCCATTCTTATGCAGCCAGGAATCTATTCTTCTGGAATAGATTGGCCTGGAACATTGTGTACAGTGGAACTGGATGTGTGGCCTCTTGTGTGGCTTCGTTCTCTTCGCATGATGCTTCTGCAGTCCATCCATGGCCTGGCATGTATCAGTCACCTGTTTCTTTTTATAACTGAATAGTACTCCATTGCATGGCAGCAGGACCACATTTTTTCTGTTCATTCTCATGTTGCTAGATCCAGTGTTTGGCCATCTTTAGTAACACTGCTGAGCATATGAATGCCCAAACCTTTGTGTCATATGTTTCCATGTCTCTAGAGTGGACACCTCACAATGGAATTCGTATGCTGTATGGTAAATTTGTGTTTGATTTTAGGGAAACTTGCAAAATTTTACAAAATGACTTCTGTTACACCCGAAAGGTCCGAAAGTTTAGCACGCAGTGGCTGTAACAGCACTGCCTTTCTGGCCACCCGCACCGGAAGCTCCTTCCTCTTCAACCAGCTCTGCTTTCATTTCATTTCATTCATTCAGTTCCAGTACCATCTGGCTGAATTTCTTTCTCTTGGTTCAACTCCAGTTGTTGCTTTTTTTCTACTTCCACAGGCTCTCACTACATAGTCCAGCCAAGAACTGACTGTGTAGCCCAGGCTGACTTCAAATTCATGTAAACCTCCTGTCTCAGCGTCCCAAGTGCTAGGATAGCAGGTGTGGGCCACCGTGTCTGGCCCAATTGTAGCTTTCAATTTTCCTTTTCTCTATCAAATCTTGTGTATTAGCTTTCTATCATTTTTTAATTTTTTAAAAATTTTAAATCTTTGATATTTATTATTTCTGCAGATTTCTGAACAGCCTATGTTCTACACTTCTATTTTTAAAGGCAGCCTTAAGATCATTAATCTCTTCCTCCTCCTTTTTTTTTTTGCCCAGGCTGGCTTTTTTTTTTTTTTTGGCTTTTTCGTTTTTATCGGTACCAGGGATTGAACTCACGACTGCCTGCTTTCAAGGCCGGCGCTTATGCCGCTGAGCTAAATCCCCAGCCCCCCCAGGCTGGCTTTGAACTCAGTCTCTCCTGAGTGCTGGGATTACAAGGATGCGGTACCACATCTGGCCTTCTTCTTTCAGTTTGTAGTTTTCTTCTGCTGACTTCGTTTTATTGGTTAGCTCATCCTCTCCTCTTAGTAATTCGGTCTCTTCGCGGAGCATGCTGCTTTTGTTCTTCAGGCTAACAGTGTGCACATCTGAAGTCTCCGCTGAAGCAGCTTTCTCACTGTCTTGGGTCAGCTCAGAACACTTCCTCCAGAATCATCGTGGCAGCTGCTGAGACCCAGCTTCTGCTCCACCCGGCTGAATAGCAAATTTCCTTTTCTTAGCTAAGTCCCTGCATCTTCTTTAAATATGTTTTTGCTTCAAGTTTGTGTTTAAATTTCTTTACCTGGGTGTTATAAAGTGATGAAAAATACTGTCAAGCTTTGAGCTGATACTGTAGCTCCTGTGTGTGTTCTTTTCCTCTGTGTTGTTTTATAAACTGAATGAACTCAAATTCTAATAATCTCTTGGCTTCCAATAAAGTATTTATTTCCTGTTTCTTCTGCTTTTCTAAGCCTTTTAAATTAATTGCCTGCCTCAAATGCTTGAGTCTTAAGTGCATTTTGTAACCACAGTCACTTACTTGATTCCTGCTCCAATTACAGGGTTGAATTGTTTGTTGTTTCTTTTTTGGTGCTTGCCAGGCAGGCGCTGCACCACTGAGCTACATCCCCAACCCCATTTGTTTGTTTTTTGAGACAGGGTCTCTGTAATTCAGGCTGGCCTTGAACTCACTATGGCCTTCCTGTCTCAGCCTCCTGAGTGCTGGGATTATAGGAATGCTCAGCTGGATTCTTAACCTTATCTTCTTCAGCCTTTCTTTTTTGCAATCAAATGCTCCATCTTTGTGAGACAATATGAGATCTGCCTCTGGCATGGAGCGCTGTTATCCAGCCTAAAGGCTCTCGCTTCAGCTTCTTTCCATCTCACACACTGCAACCAGCTCTACCTCTTCCTTAGACTGCTGCTCAGTTAAATGAGTTTTGGTTACTTTCTGTTTACTTACCTCTTGTTCTAACCTTTATTGTAATTGATACGTAGCTCTAAATTGTTCTTTACTGGCCTGGCATGGTGATGCACACCTCTAATCCCAGCACTTGCGACTACACACTGAACTACACACTGAGACCCTGTCTCAAAAACATATACATACATACATACATACATACATACATAAATTGTTCTTACCCTTTCCTGAACAATTAAGCATGGCTTGAGCCTCCTTTCTTTCTCCTGCTATTTCAGGATCATGTTTGAGATGTTTCACTTTCTTGGTCTTTGTCGTCCTTGTGTTTTGTTTCTTTGAGACTGGGTCTCACTATGTAGTACAGGCTGGCCTCAAACTCACTAGGTACCCCAGGCTGGCCTTGAACTCAACAGCGATCCTTTTGTTCAGCCTCTAGAGTGCTGGGGTCACAGTTGTGCACCACCAGGCCCCGCCTCACCTCCTCTTGTAAGACTATGATCTGAGCCTGAAGGCCTCCAGTCATCTCAGAATCATGGGCTCTGTCTCTGTCTTCGGCTTCCAACAGCTTGCAGTTGATGGGAGTCCCCTTTGTCTGCTTGACCCAGAATTCTCCAGAATTCTTTCTCTCCAGCAGTCCTCTGAGGACTCAAGCTGGCTGACTGGCTGTTTTTAATCTGTGCCTCTTACTAACCTTACAGCTGTGTCTTGATTCTGTCCTGTGTTACCAGTTGGCTTCTTCTACCTGCTTGTGTTATTGTGCTATCTTCGCCTTAGCAGGCTGTGCATTCTGACTGATTTTTCATCTCCCATCTGATTCTGAGCCGTAGAGGATTCATGTTTGGCGTTTCTCCTTTTCTTGTTAGCTCAGCCCTTCTGTGGTACTCATTAACCCCATGTCATCATGTGTTATCTTCCTCAGTTCGAGACAGCATACGTTCCAAGTCTCTTTTCTTAGTCTAGTTTTTGGTTTGAAGTTCGGCACTTCTGTTCCACATCATCTTTTCATTGCAGTTCATTATGCAGCTATTCTTCTAGCTTGCAGATGGTTTCTTGCAAACTGTCCTGCAAGCTTTTATCTGAGTTGGAGCTAGTTCTGTTATTAGAATTTGCTAAAGATGAGTATCTACAATTGCCTTCATATGTAAATCCTGCAAAAAGTAGTTGATTGCCAACAAAAGCTTTAGGAATAGGGACTGTTTCTTAATCTCTTTTCTAAGTCATCCAACTTACTAGTATCAGTGTCAACGCTTAAATCAGAACAGCTGGCACTATAGTATCTTGCAGTTTCCCAAGCCCACTAATCATCATGATCATGATCATGATCTTCTTCTTCCTCCTCCTCCTCCTCCTCCTCCTCCTGCTTTCTTCTGCTTTCTTCTGCTTTCTTCTTTTTTCTTCTTCTTCTTGTTTGATTTTTGAGACAGGATCTTGGTATGTAGTTCAGGCTGGCTTTGAACTTGTGGCAGTCTTCCTGCCTCAGCCTCCCATATGCTGGGATTACCGGTGTGCACCACTGATCCCTGGCCCACTGTTCTTTTTTTTTTAAGCCAGTCAAATTTAGCAGTGGGGGGGGGGGCGGTATACCAACTTTAGTGACACTAATGTTAATAAGTTCTGATAACCCACTGCCATCGGACCAGCCCACTGTTCATTTTTCAAGAAGAGATGTCCTTTGATTTCTTCTATACCATTTTCCCCTAGACACTCTTCTCTGTCAGGAAGGCATACATAGGGTTTGCTTCTTCTGATGTATCATCATCATCAGGGAAGATGAGTGAGTTTTTATGGCTCATAGTCTTACTGTAAGTTCCGAGCAAAGACCCTGCACAAAAAGCTGTATCACCTACAAGCATTTCGCCACCTCAGGGGTTTTAATACTGCAGGGGAAGTGGTACCAGTGTCTGGGCTGCTGTGTCCCATTGTACCACATCTTCCTTACTCATCTTCAGACGAGTACCAGAGTCTGCTAGCTTCACATGCCCGGACTCACGTGGTAACTGGCTTCGTGAAGTGAAATGCATTGCCTGAGCCGCCTCCTGTGCCAGCAGCTGCTCAGGCGCAGTGGAGCTGCTCATTAGGTGTACGAGACCTCCACGGCTTGCATCACATTCTCTGCAGAGATGCTGACCTCTTGGGATACTCGACACAGCTTAACAACCCAAGGACTGTCGGCAACAGCTTCGATGGCTGTTCTCTCCAGAACAAAGCAGAGAAAGCCGGGTGGGTCCCCCCAAGATGCTTCATTGCCCATGTCTTCCCGGTAGACTCATGCCTCACATCTCCAGCGCACCTCTCCCAGGCACCTCTTCATAATCTTCAGCTTTCATTTGTAAGCCTCTAACGTGTTTATTGTGTCATAGACCTTCTCCAGCCACCTTGGCCATGGAGAGCCCAGTTCCAGGATAGCCAGGGGGCATGAGAGCCAGCAGGAGACAGGGGACCCCAGGGTGGTGACAGGGAACAGAGAGGGAGCCACTTGTGAGGTGACTGCTGCTGTGCAGCAGGGCCAGGTGGTGCCTCATGGAGACTAAGAAAAAAGTGTAGCCTACTCTATCTGCTCCACAGCTGTGGATGGAGATCTCGGGGTGGGCCATAGTCCCTGCTGGAAAGAAGGCAAGTGGGGCTGGCGCCCAAGAGAGACCGATACAGCCGCCCTCCTGTTCAAAATCTCCTGCTAAGTTCTGGGCAGTCCCGCACTGTGGCTTCTGCCTTTGTCTCACAGGAGTGCGTCTTTTCAGTGGGGGACCAGATTGGTACATTTGGGGTTCATTTGCTAGGGCAGGCCACCTTACCGCTGATGCACACAGATGAGACCTGATTGCTTTCCTTTTGCTTTCTGTGCTGCTGGGGATTGAGCCCAGGTCCTCACGGGTCCCAGGCAAGCACTCCACCCTGGTTTCTGTCCTATAGCAGTCCTGAGCCACAGCTCTCCACACTTTATCTGTGATGTAGTTGCCTCTTCCCATCGCAGCTGTGCACCATGCCCTGGCTCAGACCAGCTCGTCCTGGGAGAATCCCATCCATGCTCCTCAGAGTCTGCGGAACGGAACAGAGGGGCCACTCAAGTGTGGCCTGCAGAGCCAGGTGGGCTGTGGCAGGTGACGGGAACTGCAGTCCTTGGGGCTAGGCGAGGCCGGGCCGGTGATGCACAGAGCGTCCCTCTGCCAGCCCTTCGCACAGTGTCCTCTGCACATGGGAGCCATTTGGTGTCTTCCTCCCCTCTATTCTCTCCTTGTCACTGACTTCTCCTTTTGAACAGAAAAAGAACTTAGATCTTCATTTTCCTCAGAGTGGAAACCAAATAATGAGTTCCTGCTCAAAGCAGGAAGATACAAAGTGAGAAATTTGAGTTTCCCTTTAAGGCTTGAGTGAGTCCAGCAAGTGGCTGTGCTGCACCGCCTGATGGCGGGGATGGGAGCGGATCAGCCACCAGCTAAGCAAGCTGACATGGCCTCGAAGCCCAAGCTTGACCCTGCGCAGGCCCGGGGTTCTTTGTTTGTTCATTTTTTCAGGTTTTTTTGTACTGGAAGTTGAACTCATGACCCTGTGCTTGCCAGGCAGGCGCATATGCTGCAGAGATAAATCGCCGGCCCCAGCTGTTCTTGTCCTGTGTATGTTTTAATTAAGTCAATGACATATGCCATGTGACCTCTGCTTGCCGAGGTTAGCAAGCTGAGGATGTGGGACGCATTTCTGAAGAAACGCTAGCCTTGTGAACTCTGTGTCTGTTTTTCGTGGAAGGGGTAAGTGACATCAGCAAAGCATCTGTGCCTTTTCCTGGATGTTCTCCCCAAACAAAAGTCAGAAGCTAAGGTTTGGAATTGGCTACAATGATTTGTTATTTGCCATCTCCAAAGCAGTTTATAAGATAATTTGTAAGGAAATCACAGTGTTTCTGGCAGTTCTAAAAATGGCAATCTGCCAGGTACATGTCTACAGTCCCAGTACTCTGGGACGCTGAGGCAGGATGATCCCAAGTTGAGCTAGCCTGAGCAACTTAGTAACTTAACTGGACCCAGTCTCAAAAAAGAAAAAGGACTGGGGGTAGCTTAGTGCAAAGCCCCTGGGTTCAGTCCCTAGTACCACACGTACACACACAAAGTAGCTGTGACCCCGTGCTTGTGTTTCAGCAGTCTCTCTTGCCAGCTCCCCATCTCCTCCCCCCAGCCTTCTGTGTGTCCCTAGAAAGAGGGTCGCAGGCCTGCACTGGCATCCTGGACTCATTCCCTCTTTCCCTGCCCTCAGATGTCATCAAAGCCATCAGCACCGTCCCTGTACAAGAAGTGGGGAGTCTCTGGCCTAGGCTGGCTGTCTTCTCCTCAGTACCCAGAGTCCTTCACGGGGCGCGGCTCAGCAGCCTGCAGGCTGTGGATCTGGAGTCGGGGGAGACCACGTACAGCTCAGGTATGAAAGTCATACCCTGCTGCTCCCCCGCTAGCACCCACCCTTGGCCCCGCTTCAGGGGCTGATTGCAGGCCCCAGCCCTGGCCACGCCAGGCCTGTCCAACCCCAGCAGCTCTCCTCTTCCAGGTGTCAGCGACAATGAGGAGCTGAGCAGCCTGCAGGTCCTCGATGGCCACACTGTTGCATTTTGCTGTACCTCAGGCCGCCTGGGGCTGGTCGATACCCGCCAACCATGGGCACCTTTGGAGAACCCTGGCCAAGGTCCTGGCTCTGGTGGCCAGAGATGGTGTGCGGAAGTGAGGGCTGCGGGCGAGGGCCCAGGGCCTTGCTTCTCCAGCCTGGGAGCAGATGGGCAGCTCCGTCTCCTTGATGTACGAGATCTCCGCCACCCTGTGAGCTCGGTCCAGTGTGCAGTGTCTGCACCAAGCCCCAACCCAGAGCTGTTGAGAGTGACGTGGGCCCCACGCCTGGACAACTGCCTGGCTATCTCAGGTATTGTTTTTTGCTGTTGTTTTTTTATCAGTACTGGGGATCGGCCATGTGCTTGCAAGGCAGGCGCTAAATCCCCAGCCGCTATCTCAGGTATTGTTGAGCACGGTCTGATGTCTTCAGGGAACAGGCGCAAGATCAGAAGGGAACCGCTGGCCCCTGAAGAAACTAGTTCTCAAAGGGAGCTGTGCCATGACCCTGCAGCCTATAGTGTAGCCCTTCCTGTCCTGGCCATGGAATGGCCACAGCCCACAGCAGCCTTTCTGGGCCCTTGAGGTTCGGGGCTCAGGCCAGACCCACTGGGAAGTAGGGCGGGTGAGGAAGTGCCTAAGTGCCCACCAGGAGGAGCAGGAGAGGACTGTGGGATGTGTGTGTGTGTGCCTCAGTCACAGTGCTGGGCAACATGGCAGAGCTCTTTAAAGGCTTCTGTCACCCTGTTAGGTAGAAACAAGACTGTCCACTGAGAAGGACCTCAGGGTGGGGTTTGGGGCCACTGGAAAAGGCGGGAAGTCTCCCGAGCCTCCATACCCAGGGAGGTGCTAGTAGCAACTTCATACTGTGGTGGAGGTGAGCGACACAGCCTGCCCAGGTGAGCCTTGGGCCTGGCACGCAGCAGGTGCGCACAGGTGCTCCTGTGACCTCTGGACAGAGTTGCCGCTGCCTGGGTGGGCAGAGGCTCCACTCCCTTGGCAGGAGATGAGCCACTGGCCCCAGAGGCCCTCTACCTTGGCCTCTGGCTAAGGGCTTTCAGGACTCAGGAGTAAACCCTCTGCTCTGTGTCTTCCTCAGGCTTTGATGGGACAGTCCAGATCTACGATGTCACATCTTGGGAGGGAACGAGGAGCCAAGTGGAGCCACTCTTCACCCACAGAGGTCACATCTTCCTAGAGGAAGACGTGGACACTGCTCCACTGGTCACCACCCACACCTGGCACCCCTCCAAACCCAAGACTTTGTTATCAGCAGCCAGCGACGCCTCTGTACATGTGTGGGACTGGGTGGATCCTCGTGCCACCTGCTGACACTAGACCTTGGGAGAGGAGTACAGAATCGCAGGGCCACAGTTGTGGGTCACTGCTGCCAGCTGTGTGGCCTTGGGCAAGTAAGCCAGCCTCTCTCAGCCTGTTTTCCTGTCTGTACAGTGGAGGTATTAATGGAGCCAGTCATGGTGGTTCATGCCTGTAATCCTAGCATTTTGGAGGCTGAGGCAGGAAGATTGCTGTGAGTTCAAGACCAGCCTGGGCTACAAAATGAGTTCAAGGCCAGCCTGAACTGCACAGTGAGTTCCTGTCTCAAGAAAAACAAATCAATGAAGGTAGTAATGACTTCCAGGGTTGTTGAGAAGATGAGGAATAATAGATTAAAGAATGATCGGGCCAAGTGGGGTTGGCCATACCTGTAATCCAGGCCACTCAGGAGGTTTAGGCCAGCCTGGGCACCGTAGTTATTTAGCAAGACCTTGCCTCTAGGTTAAATAAGTAAAGGGCTGGAGCTGGAGCTCAGTGGGAAGGCTGTAAGAACTGCCACAAGAGAGAGCGTTGTCAGGAGCTACTGTTAGATCTGGGAGCCCTGGGCTCCCGCCCGCTGTACACTGGCAGTGTTTGGTCTCTGTCTTCTTCACAGTATTACAGTGATAGTCAGAAGAGGTCAGAACTATAAATGTGTTCCTCAAACGTTTTTACAGAAGAAAAAATGTACAGGGGCCAATAAACCTGACAAAATATCAACCCCGGTTGCAATTAAGCAAGGAGCAGTAGTAAAGTCTGCCAGTGTGCCTCTCGGAGTGCCAGTGTGGTGCCTGTCACTCTCCACACCTGGCAGAACTTCCGTGAGGCCTGGTGCCAAGGGGCAGCAGTCTCTTCTAGCTATAAGCTGGACCTGGTTCACTTGGACTAGAAGGCAGATAACCAAGGCCCTGCTAAATGACAACTAAATTTTCCTAATGTTGGTGGGCATCGCTACATACAAGCTTGTAATCCCAGCGCTTGGGAGGCTGAGGCAGGAAGATGAATTTGAGACCAACCTGGGAATTTTAACCAGTTCAAGTGAAGACAGTGAGACCCTGTCTCAAAAAAACAAAAAAGCCAGGCATGGTGATGCACGCTTCCCAGCACTTGGGAGTCCGAGGTACAAAGGCCACTGTGATTTCAAGACCAGCCTGGGTTACATAGTAATTTCCAGGCCAGTCTGAACTACAAAGCCATACCATTTCAAAAAGAATTTTAAAAAAAGGAACAGGAAAAAAAATCCATCTTGTGCAGTTACCAGTGACGCAATGAGCAGCTTTTGTATACGTGAGCAATGTCTGCATGATGTTTCTAAAAATAAAATCACTGAGGCAGTTCATGTGTGCAGTTTTGGTTTGATAAACACTGCCAAGGTGCCCCCCATACTGTGCCAGCTTCTGTTCCCATTTGGTAAAGGGCCAGCCTCTGTCCCTGCCTCTCATCGGCAGCCTTTGCCTGGCTGGTAAACACAGATGGTTGCCGTAGCTTTAAGTTTACATTTCTCTCACATATGAGGTTGAGACTCTTTGTATATTTGTATATTTAAGTCTGGGGGCACATATTGCTAAAGAGGTTAATGGGAGGACGGGAGCCAGCCTAGGAGCTCGGGCAGAGCTCGTGGCCTCTGTCTCCTGGAGGGTAGAAGCCTGAGGGACATCTTCAGAACTTCATATGCATTTCCCTCTGCAGCGGCCGGAGCAGTAGTTAAAGGGTGTGTGCATCTTGCTGCCATGTGCAGTCCCTCACTGTAGCGTTTATTAAAGGGTTCTAAGGAATTCTGCTTTTGAAATTACTTGATTACTAGTCCACAACAACATTAGTGGGTGTGGATGTTTGTTTATTCATTCACTTATTTGACACTGGAGAGTGAACCCAGGGCCTTCACACCGCTGTGCACCCAACCTTTTCTTTTTCTTCTTTTTTGAGACAAATTCTAAGTTGCTGTTACAGCTTGTGTCTAGAAGTTCCCCAAAGCCTCATGTGGTCAAAGGGCTTTTTCAGAGATGGCTGAATCTAGATTGTGATGCTGGGATTAAGGGTGGGTGATTACTAAATCAGTCCACTGATTGGTTGGCCACTGCCCTCGGTCCAGTAGCCTAGATGAGTATAAAAGGGGTAGAAAGAAGCTGCTACGGTCCCTTGCTTGCTTTTCCACCTTCTGCCTACCATGGACTATTTGTCTGCCACGCCACTCTGCCTTGGAGACAGCTGACAATAGACTGAAACCTCTACAAACTGTGAGCTCAATAAACCTTTCCTCCTTTAACTTTGGGTGTCAGGTATTTTGTCTCAGCAGTGAGAAAACTAAGTTACTTTTACTAAGACTGGCCTCAAACTTGTGGTCCTCCTGATTCAACCTCCCAAGTCACTGCATCAGCTTGCCCATTTGAGTTTTTTTCATTTGTTTTGCTTTTGACAAGGGGTCCCTCTGTGTTTCCCCGACTGGTCAAAAGCACTGAGCTCAAGTGATTAGGGTTGGTCAAAAGCACTGAGCTCAAGTGATTAGGGTTATGGGACTACAAATGTATACCACCTTTGACCTGGTCAGGAAGGAACTGTGTTTTTTGGGGGGGAAGGGGGTTGATTACTAATAGTGAAATTAGTAGAATGTTATATTTTGAAGATATTTAATTTTTTCAATTTCAGGATAGGATCATCTTTAGCATTTCCTGAAGTCTCCAGTCATTTCCGCCCTCTTCAGGAAAGCTTATCGTGTAGCTTCTCCCCAACTCTGTGCTCTGCAGTGTCACGTTGATAGCTTGAAATTACTATGGTGGGAGTATTTACACCTCACAAATTGGCAAACATTACAAAGTTGAGTTGCTTCTTTCCCCCAGAGAGCTGCATTACCAGCACACCACTGAGGAAGCTACAGTATCTCACCAAGTAAAAGCAGAAGTGAGCAATTTAGAAAATAGTGGAGCAGTGTGTGGATTTAAAAGCCGCTTTGCTGAAAAGCAAAAACGTGTAGCAGTCACGACCTGGCCTGAAGCCTATGCTGACACTGCTGTGGGAAGGGGCGGGGGGATCTGGAGGAAGTGGCCACGCAGGGACGGGCCGGGGGCACACAGAGCAGAGGTGTCTCCTGATGACAGCTGTGAGCTGCTGCCCAAAGGATGCCAAAGCTTGCAGGAAGCAGAGACAGCAGGTGAAATCCCCTGGGTTCTTACCACCTGCCAATTCTGTTTGTCAGAGCAGGAGGATTAGAATGGAAGTGCCTTAGCTGGATTTACGGTGCTTACTATTTAGACACGTTTTAGAGGGTGTGACTCTTTATACCCGTTTATGGCCTTCTCCCAGGATCAGATGTTTGAATGGTGGCCTCAGAATTAGTGTGACTATTCAGCCACTGCCACTGCCTTGCCCTGCAGATGATGACGAGGGCCACAGTGAAGTGAGGTGGGTGGGAGGAAGGACCATTGTGGGTTAAGGGCCCCATGGGCTAGGCCACCCAGGGCCACTTGGCCCTGTGCAATTGAGGCAGGACCCCTGGGACTTCGAGCTGCTCACCATCTGGTGGGCGGGGGGCCTGTCCCTTACCCAGTGGGCTGTGAAGGAGACTTACAGGAGTATGTGACTCTCCACACATTTCCTGACCTGAGAGTGGTTTGTAGAGCCAGGGAGGCTGACAGCATAGTGACAACACACATAAGTGTCGGGTGACATGGTCGTGCCCTCTGTGAAACCGGCCTCAGCACATGACAGTCTGGTGAGCAGCTGAGGTGGTCACAGACCGCAGATGAAGCACTTAGCACAGGGCATGCCATGAACACATAGGCACTGAATGTGCTGGGCTGTCACCACACATTTCTCACCTCAGGACAATATCACTGTGTTAGGGAGATGAAGGCCGAAGCCCTGGAGGAGGAAAGGAGCCTTGTTTTGGGGGAAGGGGTGGATGGGGTGAGCTCACTCCCAACGGTGGCATCTGCGAATCCCCACCTGGTCTTTCGAATTCTTCAGAGACATCAATCTCTGCCCTGAGGCTCAGGCTCAAAGTCTAAAACTGCCTCTGTCCCTTTGACTGCACCACTTAAACCTCACTGGAAACAGGGTGGGTGCCCTAAACCTGATGCCAACGTCCTGCTAGCTCTTCATGGAAATGAGGGACCAGGATTGTTGCTTTGAGTTTCTTTTTTCTTTTTCTTTTTTCTTTTTGGAGACTGGATCTCACTACGTAACCAAGGCCAGCCCCAAACTCATGGCAAGCCTGTTTCAGCCCCTCTGGAATCTCATTGCTCAATTCTAAAGACATGTGATAGCAAAAGTTTCCAAGAAGGAACAGAGTTATTTCCAAACTTTTTACAATGCAGAGCTACATGAGATAGTAACAGAATAAATTTCTAGCTAAGAACTTCTCACTGAAAGAGTAGAATGATTTTATTTATTTGCTGTACTGGAGATTGAACTTGAGGCCTTTGTAGTGACACCCCCCCACCCAAGCCCTGCCATCTCCTTTTTGAGACAGGCTTATACTAAGTCACTAAATTGCCCAGGTTGGGCTAGAACTTGTGATTTTCCTGCTTCAGCTTCCAAGAGTGCTGGGACTATAGGTGTGCGCCTCCATACCCATTAAATGAAATGATTTTGCTTTTTTTGCGGGGGGGGGGGTAAACCAGGAATCAAATTCAGGACCTTGCATTTGCCAGGCAGGTGCTTACTCTGCTAAGCTAAACCCCAGCCCTTTAAACGAAATTGTTGTATCCATCCCATTTCAGTTTGGTTTTCTGACCATCTTACTTACTTTTCTCTTATTGCTGAGACAAAATACATGACACCCTAAATTAAAGGAGGAAAGGTTTATTTGGCTCACAGTTTGTAGAGATTTCAGTCTATAATCAGCTGGCTCCAAGGTAGGGTCACATTGAGACAGTTCATGGGGGCAGAAGGTAGCAAAGCAACCAAGCAAGGAACAGCCACGGCTCTTTCTATCCCTTATATTTTATCCAGGCTGCTAAGGGCGGGTAGCACTCGAACTCTTAATCCTAGGACCCTTGATCCTAGCATTGCACCATGAATCAATCACAGCCTCACAAATTCTAGATCCAGCCATCTTTGAAAAAGCCCCACCCATGACTCCATGAGGCTTTGGGGGGACATCTAGACACAGGCCATAGTGCTAACCTTGTGAAAAATTCTGAATTCAGATTTGTGGAATACTTCTGAAATTGTCTCCAACAACAGACTTTTTACAAAGTCTCAGTGATGACAGCAAATTGGCATCCTGCAAGTGGTCTGTTTTTGGAAAGCGGAAATTGGGCACAGCCAAATCTCATGGTTAAGACAGATGATGAGGCTGGATTAAACAAGACTGGTTGGTTCTGACATCCACTATGGTTGTTTTTGATTTTGCTTGGTTTTGGTTTTTTGTAGCCCAGGCATTTGGTCAGTCCTCGCTGAGTTTTTGTTTTGTTTTGCTTTGTTTTGTTTTATTTTCAAGACAGGGTCAACTTGCAGTGATCTTTTGCTTTAGCCTCCCCAGCACTGGGGTTATAGGCATGTGCTTCCTTGCCTGGAAGCCCTCTGCTTTGCCTTGGGGTTGGCAGGGCAGGTGGGAGCAGCTACAGGAGAGCAGGGTGGTTGGGCTGGGCCTTACCTCTGTGGAGTCTTCACATGGCCAGACTCTTTCCTTTGCTGCTACAGGGTGCCACTGCCAAAGCTAAGTCCCAGAGAACAGGAAAGTGGCAGGATGCATGGGGCTATGAGCACCCAAGCAAGAGTTATGGGGAATTTTCTGTGAGGCCATGAGAAACTGCTGCAGGTACTGTAGCCACCGTGTGCCTGGATGGCAGCCCAGTGGTACAGGTGCAGGGTTGCTCTGGGCTTGCGCAGGAGCAGAGTCCCCGGATGGCCTCTGATTGCAGAAGAAACAGGACTCAGAAATACATGGAACAGTTTCTGACTCCTAAAGTAGATTCCATTGTGTTTACTTTTACACTCTTTCCTGACAGCTTCCCAGAAACTCATTAATCATGAAACAGAGCACAATCTATACATACTATCATGGCACCTAATTAGATTCATAAAATGTGATTATTCACTAATGCTTTTTTTCTTAAAACAAAGAACTCACCCAGATAAATGTCATTTATCAAAAAGGACTGTGATAAGCTATAGACTCTACATGTCATTGTTTTTTGTTTTTGTTTTTTTGCTTGTTTTGGTTTGATTTTTTGTATTTTCAACATTAGAGTTTTTAAGATTTTTTTTTTTTTTTTTTTTTTTTTTTGTACTGGGGATTGAACTCATGACCTCTCACATGCCAGGCAAGCACTGTGTCATTCAGCTATATCACTGGCACGAGAATTTCTTAAAGGTGTCTTCAGGAAGCCTTACCTCCATGTTCTCCCAGCAGGAAAGCAGTTTGTAGCTTGGGTCTGGGAAACACTTAATAAATGCTGGCAAAAGCCAAACAAGGAGGCATCCCCTGTAATCCCAGCATTCAAGAGGCTGAAGCAGGAGGATCTCTGTAAGGTGACCCTGCCTTGAAAAATAAAACCCACTGACCCAAATGATTCAGCTGTTCTGTAACAAGCCCAGAAGTGCCTACAGTGACCAGTGGAGCCACCCACTCTCAGCTGGCTGCAGCAGAATTTGAACTGTCCTCCCAGTCACATGTGCTGCTTGAGGTGGTTCAGGCAGTTCTCTTATTTGACAGCAGGGAGCAACACTCAGAAAAGCAAGGGCTGGGCCTTCTCTGAAGAGCCAGTCTGAACTCGGAGGGAAAGTTGCAGCTTCCAGGACCAGGGAATAGCAAATTCCAGTTGGACACAAATGGCAGAGTATCACATATCACCCACCTGGTGGCCACCGAGCAGGCTCTACCTGACCCTCTACCTATCGCCCTCCTATCTTACCTGGAGCCATCTCCCAGCAGGGCCGTGGCCGCCTCTTCACCTCAGGATGCTCTTGGGGCCCCAGATCTGAATGTTCCTGGGAAGGAGGCTCAAGCACTGTGCTAGAACCAGCAACTCCTGGATCTGCTCTTTCATACCACTGTCTGGTCTCAGCCACTGGCAATAGACCTTGCAGAGGTGGATGAGGGCCTCCCAGGATTCTGATGCTTGTTGAGAGGAGAAATGTGAAAAGCTGTGGCAGAGGGCTCTGGTCCAGTCATTCCCTAGAAGGAAAACTTGCTGCTCTCATTGGGAATCTTCCAAGTTTCATTATGCGAAGCTCTTCCTGCACTGCAGTCTGTTGGGCCACAGCCACAGTTGCGTTCTTCTCAGAGAACCAGATGGCTGTGCTCCGAAGCGCAAATGTCTTCCAGCACCTCGCTGAAAAGCAGCCTGCAGCCGAGTCACTACATTGAACTCTTGAAATCCTAGAAGCAGAGACACAAAGTGAACTCTAGTGAAAATCACAAGGGTTAGCCCCGCAGCACTAGGGTAAAGGAGACAGCCTCCTGGTTGGCCCGTTTATGCCCTGTGGAGTGTGGTTCTCTAGGACAGGCGGAGCCAGCTAAAAGTAAAGGACTAGGGGTCAAGGGTCAGTCTCGGGAAGCGTGGGAAGGGGATTGGAACTATTTGCACAGCAGTTTGCTTAAGTCCAACAAAATACCTGTATCCATACTGACCAATGAGAATGGGCTGGCAGGCATTATCTGCAACACAGTGAACTAGCCACCCTGCTAAGACACCTCAGAACTACAGGGTGCTGGAAAATGAAGTCATATATACGGGGTGAGCCTGGGGCTAAGCAGGAGGCTGCAGCACCTTGGAGAGCAGCACCGGGCGGCTCTACTTTTCCAAGATTCAAACGCTCTGATGGCTCCATTGCCCCCACTTCCGGCGAGGTTCTCAGCTTTGGATATCATGATTCCCTCCCAAACTGGGTGATTTATGTAGCTACGATTAAGCTAAAGTGCAGGCTTCCTAAGCCGCTGGAGTTGTAAGAAAAGTTGGGAGCTGCTGTGGCTTCACTTCTCTTGGAGCTGAAGCAACCTGCTTCAGAGACCCCTGGGACTTGCCCGCAGCCACACAGCTGGTCTCTAATCTATGACGGTGGCAGGTCCGCTGGACAAAGAGCTTGGCTTACACCGTGAGCCTCGGGCCACTTCTGGAGATGTCTGGAGGCAAACAGACCGGGGGTGGAGGGGGCGTCGTAGGCTACCGGCCGGGAACATCTCCTCTGGGCCCAGTGGAGGAGGGGTCGAAGTGTCCAGCCCTGGTCGCTCACAGGACACCTGGCCTGGGCCAAAGCCAAAAGGCGGGCGTGAGTCAGCCCAGGCCCCAGGTGACAGCCATTCCTGTCTACCAAGGCCTTGTGGCTGCAGAAACCCAACCACATGGAACTTTCTCCGCTGCCACATGAAACCCCAGCGCAGACCCATAGCACTGGCAGAGGGCCAGGGGATAACGGAAGCGGAAACCCAGCCTCCTAAAGGATTTCCCAAGGGGCTCAGTCTTAAGACTGACGGCAGTATTAACCAATAGAATATGAGAGTAGCTCAGGTTCCATTTACCTAGGATGAATTATTGACGAGGGTGGGACTTTCTTAGCATGTGATTTAGGAGTCTAAAATCCTGATTTGAGCGGGTGCGGTGGATGGGTGGTGGCTCTGTGACCTGGGGAAAGTGAGGGGCTTGCCCTGCACTGTGGTGGCTGTACAGAGCATTCTCCCTTAAGGCTTTATGGCAGCTGAATAAACCCAGCGGCTCAGAGTGAGGTCAAGTTTAACATGGCACTGGAATCCCAGTTCCAATTCTCGAACACTTGAAGTTTCTCACTGGGAGATCGAGGCATAAGGATCACAAGTTGGAGCTCAGCCTAGACAACAATCGAGACCCTGTCTCATGAGAACTAGGGGGAAAAAATTTTATATATATATATATATATATATATATATATAGTCAGTGAAAAGGCCCTAGATTCAATCCCGTTAGTTAATAATGATGATGTGCCTTTGATGCCTGCTGTGTGCACACATTCCTGGTTGGTTTGAGATCTACTAACACTCAACAGCCAATTGTAGGGCATCTACTTGCTCTATTCTTTGTAGCCCGAGAACTATGACACAGCCAGGTGGATTTGCAGGCTGAGGAGGGAGGAACCTTGGCTAAGGCTCAGGTTTGGGCCTGGGGGAGACTGGGGGATGGGGGCACTCCCAGGAAATGTGAGGTGGCTAGGCCCACTGGGTCTGGGAATGCAAGTCCAGGAAGGGATGACAGGAGAGTGGAGGCTGAAGACCAAGCATGCAGGTGTCCTGAGAGCCAAGTGAGATGGCAGGCAGAGGTCCCCACAGTAGAGGCCCACACATCCTCAGGCGGAGCCCAGGAGAAGCCAAAGGGCAACATGGGCAGGCCCTGGATGTTCATACCACAGGGTCCAGGTGCTCAGATTCGAGGAAGTCCAAGGGTACAAGGCCAACGAGGGTAATGGGAGTGGGCAGTGACCTAGGTCACACAGAGACTTGCTGAGTTGGAGCTGGGGTCATGTTCAGGCTGAGGCAATTGCTTCATGTTTTTGCTTTTTGGGCTTTTTTTCTAACTCTAGATTTCTGTTCCTTTGGTTTTATGTATTTGTGGGTATGCAATACTGGGGTTTGAATCTAAGGTCTTTGCACCGAGCTGTCTCTAGCCTTTAGGGGAGGGTGGTCTCGCTAAATCACCAAGCTAGGCTTAAACTTTTTTTTTTTTTTTTTTTTTTTTTTTTGACAGGGTCTTAATATCTTCAAGGGCTAGGGATACAACTCAGCAGCACAGCACCTGCCTGGCAAATACAAGGTCCTGAGTTAGATTTCTAGTCCCAAATATATATATTTCTAGCAATATAGCTTAGCACCACCGTGCCTATCTGGCAAGCACAAGCTCCTGAGTTCAATTCTCAGCACCCCACCAAAAAAATCCAAAACAAAGTATCTCTCTTAAACTGTTGTCCTTTCAGCGATATAATCCATGTATATATAGTTCAGGCAAATGCATGGTGACCCTCCTGCCTTAGCTTCCCAAGTGCTGGGATTACAGGCAAAGCCCAGTTTGTTCCTCTGATCTTAAAAATGGGACATCAGCTTATGCAGGTATAACTAAGCTGCAAGCTGCAGTGTGGTATCAGATCTGCCAAGGGGACAAGAGCTTGTTGGAATTTCTTTTTTTTTTTTTTTTTTTTTTTATTGGTACCAAGGATTGAACTCACGACCTAATGCTTGCAAGGCAGGTGCTTATGCTGCTGAGCTAAATCCCTAGCCCCACTTGTTGGAATTTCTTAGAGGAAGATACCCGTGTCCTTCCAGGTCTCTCTGCCTCTGTAGGACATGAGGTGAGGGGACAGGTGCCCAACCTTTCAATAATCAGTTCATTATTTTCCCAACCTGACTCAGCCTAATCCTGCTAATTCCAGCTAATCTTACTTCTTTTTTTCCAGGATAGTCTGTGCTTCTACCAGGTGGATAGAAATTTTTTTTAAATGATATTAATACTACCTCTCAAGACATAAAAGTTCCCCTTCAACTCAAGATTCCTGTTATAATCAAACCTGAGAACTCGAGAAAAAATAAATCAGGAATTCAGAATCTGTCCTTTGTACTCCCCTCCCTGGTCAGGTAGCGCTCACCTCTTCCTAGATGGGAATCTCCTACTGGCCAGCCATGGTGCTTCTCGTTCCTGAGCTTCCCCAGCACCTATACTCAGTGACCATCTGCCAAACACCACCAGAAGGACAGAATCAGGAGTGGGTGTTTCACGGCCTCACTGGCTTGGTTTAACTGCCTAGACCCTCCACCTGTGCCTAACAAAACTGATTCTGGATAGAAATGACTACAATGGCCTCCTCAGGATGACACTCCACTCCTTAGCCAATGCGACTGTGCCAAAGTCCCGTGGGCACATTGATGAAAGTGGGGGTCACAAAGAGTAGTGGCCAGACTGCAGGTTCCCCCCAAAAGTGTGCTTCCTGAAGCCTCCTCCCCGCGCTAGGTCTTGGCCACTCTGTGTGAGGCACAAGATGTTGTGGGGAGTGCGGCCAGAATCTGCAGTCCAGTTCAGGTTTTTAACACACATCCAAACACAGGCTTGGGGAGAGAATAGGAATCCATTTTATTAGGCAATATGAAGCTTCCATCCTGTAAGAACAAAGCTCTCTGAAGCCAGGCCCCACAAATAGAAAGCAGCATCACATTTCCGAGACTCCTCATCCGCTCACCTCTTCCTCCCAACCAGCCCACCGCCTGCTGTCATTCCCTGACCTCACTGTCTCGCAGCTCAGCATACCAAGAACAAAGCCCTGAGCGCTCCAGGAGATTTGATATCCACTCTCAAAGTTAGCACTTCCTTTAAAAACCCTGTTCTCAGGGCCGAGGACAGAGCTCAGCAGTACAGTACCTGCCTAACAAGTTCAAGGTCCTGAGTTCAATTCCCGGTACCAAAAATTAAATTAAAAAAAAAATACAACTCCTAGTAACATGGATATAAGTGTTTGGCCAATCTGGGTACTGTGGTCAAGACATACTAGCATACAAAAGTCCTGTTCTCTGTATCCAAAATATCCCGAGTGGACCCCTAGACCTGCATATATAAAGACAAAGCAACAAGGAGAGGTGAACAGTGTTCAGAACCAAAAGGGCAGCATGCAGGGCTGTGTCACCTTGATGACAGGAACCCCACCAGCATGGTGGCCAGCTGGGTGCTCACAAACCTCACACCCTGCACAGGGAACGAGGGTGCCCGCTGGCTCCCCAGAACAAGAGTGGGAAGTGAGCCTGCAGACTGCCTTACCCCACAGGCCCCATTCCTCCCACCAGGCCACGCTTTCTCCTGCTTCTGTGCCTCTGACACGTTTCAGAAATAGAAAAGGGCTCCCCCTTCCCGTGGGTGACAGGATCACACAAAGTCCACACCTTGACCCACACCCCCACATCAGAGCTAGGAGGCGGCTGCGTAAAGGGACCTTGGCCCAACAAGCAGCAGCCAGACTCTACGCAATGTTTCTCTGAGGACCCGGCCCACACGGAGGAGCTGGAGGAGACCCAGGCAGGGAGGATTATGACAGCAAGCCAACCACGCTGTGAACAAGCCAGAAAACACCCAACTTTCCAACCTTCCAGCCTCTGCTGTTCTTACACTGTCGCCAGGCAAGGTCCCAGCCTGGCGGGGGCAGTGACTGCCATGGTTCAGAAGAGTGACAGTGCGGCCCTGGCTGTGTTCCCGCCTTGAGCCGGCTGCGTCAGTACAGTTTCTCTTTCATATGCGTTCTCTGGTGCGTGATGAAGTTGGAGCTGTTGCTGAAGCCCTTGCCGCACTCGGGGCACTTGTAGGGCTTCTCGCCCGTGTGGATGCGCTGGTGGATGATGAGCACCGAGTTCCAGCTGAAGCCCTTGCCGCACTCGGG